CAGGGTCCTAAATGAGAAGAACATGCAACCAAGAATACTTTATCCAGCAAGGCTCTCATTCAAAATGGAAGGAGAGATAAAGAGCTTCCAAGACAGGCAGGAACTGAAAGAATATGTGACCTCCAAACCAGCTCTGCAAGAAATTTTAAGGGGGACTCTTAAAATTCCCCTTTAAGAAGAAGTTCAGTGGAACAATCCACAAAAACAAGGACTGAATAGATATCATGATGACACTAAACTCATATCTGTCAATAGTAACTCTGAACGTGAATGGGCTTAATGACCCCATCAAAAGGCGCAGGGTTTCAGACTGGATAAAAAAGCAGGACCCATCTATTTGCTGTCTACAAGAGACTCATTTTAGACAGAAGGACACCTACAACCTGAAAATAAAAGGTTGGAGAACCATTTACCATTCAAATGGTCCTCAAAAGAAAGCAGGGGTAGCCATCCTTATATCAGATAAACTAAAATTTACCCCGAAGACTGTAGTGAGAGATGAAGAGGGACACTATATCATACTTAAAGGATCTATCCAACAAGAGGACTTAACAATCCTCAATATATATGCCCCGAATGTGGGAGCTGCCAAATACTTATACAATTAATAACCAAAGTGAAGAAATACTTAGATAATAATACACTTATACTTGGTGACTTCAATCTAGCTCTTTCTATACTCGATAGGTCTTCTAAGCACAACATCTCCAAAGAAACGAGAGCTTTAAATGATACACTGGACCAGATGGATTTCACAGATATCTACAGAACTTTACATCCAAACTCAACTGAATACACATTCTTCTCAAGTGCACATGGAACTTTCTCCAGAATAGACCACATACTGGGTCACAAATCGGGTCTGAACTGATACCAAAAGATTGGGATCGTCCCCTGCATATTCTCAGACCATAATGCCTTGAAATTAGAACTAAATCACAACAAGAAGTTTGGAAGGACCTCAAACACGTGGAGGTTAAGGACCATCCTGCTAAAAGATGAAAGGGTCAACCAGGAAATTAAGGAAGAATTAAAAAGATTCATGGAAACTAATGAGAATGAAGATACAACCGTTCAAAATCTTTGGGATGCAGCAAAAGCAGTCCTAAGGGGGAAATACATCGCAATACAAGCATCCATTCCAAAACCTGGAAAGAACTCAAATACAAAAGCTAACCTTACACATAAAGGAGCTAGAGAAAAAACAGCAAATCGATCCTACACCCAGCAGAAGAAGAGAGTTAATTAAAATTCGAGCAGAACTCAACGAAATCGAGACCAGAAGAACTGTGGAACAGATCAACAGAACCAGGAGTTGGTTCTTTGAAAGAATTAATAAGATAGATAAACCATTAGCCAACCTTATTAAAAAGAAGAGAGAGAAGACTCAAATTAATAAAATCATGAATGAGAAAGGAGAGATCACTACCAACACCAAGGAAATACAAACGATTTTAAAAACATATTATGAACAGCTCTACGCCAATAAATTAGGCAATCTAGAAGAAATGGACGCATTCCTGGAAAGCCACAAACTACCAAAACTGGAACAGGAAGAAATAGAAAACCTGAACAGGCCAATAACCAGGGAGGAAATTGAAGCAGTCATCAAAAACCTCCCAAGACACAAAGTCCAGGGCCAGATGGCTTCCCAGGGGAATTCTATCAAACGTTTAAAGAAGAAACCATACCTATTCTACTAAAGCTGTTTGGAAAGATAGAAAGAGATGGAGTACTTCCAAATTCGTTCTATGAGGCCAGCATCACCTTAATTCCAAAACCAGACAAAGACCCCACCAAAAAGGAGAATTACAGACCAATATCCCTGATGAACATGGATGCAAAAATTCTCAACAAGATACTAGCCAATAGGATCCAACAACACATTAAGAAAATTATTCACCATGACCAAGTAGGATTTATCCCCGGGACACAAGGCTGGTTCAACACTCGTAAAACAATCAATGTGATTCATCATATCAGCAAGAGAAAAACCAAGAACCATATGATCCTCTCATTAGATGCAGAGAAAGCATTTGACAAAATACAGCATCCATTCCTGATCAAAACTCTTCAGAGTGTAGGGATAGAGGGAACATTCCTCGACATCTTAAAAGCCATCTACGAAAAGCCCACAGCAAATATCATTCTCAATGGGGAAGCACTGGGAGCCTTTCCCCTAAGATCAGGAACAAGACAGGGATGTCCACTCTCACCACTGCTATTCAACATAGTACTGGAAGTCCTAGCCTCAGCAATCAGACAACAAAAAGACATTAAAGGCATTCAAATTGGCAAAGAAGAAGTCAAACTCTCCCTCTTCGCCGATGACATGATACTCTACATAGAAAACCCAAAAGCCTCCACCCCAAGATTGCTAGAACTCATACAGCAATTTGGTAGCGTGGCAGGATACAAAATCAATGCCCAGAAGTCAGTGGCATTTCTATACACTAACAATGAGACTGAAGAAAGAGAAATTAAGGAGTCAATCCCATTATACAATTGCACCCAAAAGCATAAGATACCTAGGAATAAACCTAACCAAAGAGGTAAAGGATCTATACCCTAAAAACTATAGAACACTTCTGAAAGAAATTGAGGAAGACACAAAGAGATGGAAAAATATTCCATGCTCATGGATTGGCAGAATTAATATTGTGAAAATGTCAATGTTACCCAGGGCAATATACACGTTTAATGCAATCCCTATCAAAATACCATGGACTTTCTTCAGAGAGTTAGAACAAATTATTTTAAGATTTGTGTGGAATCAGAAAAGACCCCGAATAGCCAGGGGAATTTTAAAAAAGAAAACCATAGCTGGGGGCATCACAATGCCAGATTTCAGGTTGTACTACAAAGCTGTGGTCATCAAGACAGTGTGGTACTGGCACAAAAACAGACACATAGATCAATGGAACAGAATAGAGAACCCAGAAGTGGACCCTCAACTTTATGGTCAACTAATATTCGACAAAGGAAGAAAGACTATCCACTGGAAGAAAGTCTCTTCAATAAATGGTGCTGGGGGGATCCCTGGGTGGCGCAGTGGTTTGGCGCCTGCCTTTGGCCCGGGGCGCGATCCTGGAGACCCGGGATCGAATCCCGCGTCGGGCTCCCGGTGCATGGAGCCTGCTTCTCCCTCTGCCTGTGTCTCTGCCTCTCTCTCTCTCTCTCTCTCTCTGTGACTATCATAAATAAATTTAAAAAATGGTGCTGGGAAAATTGGACATCCACATGCAGAAGAATGAAACTAGACCACTCTCTTGCACCATACACAAAGACAAACTCAAAATGGATGAAAGATCTAAATGTGAGACAAGATTCCATCAAAATCCTAGAGGAGAACACAGGCAACACCCTTTTTGAACTCAGCCACAGTAACTTCTTGCAAGATACATCCACGAAGGCAAAAGAAACAAAAGCAAAAATGAACTATTGGGACTTCATCAAGATAAGAAGCTTTTGCAAAGCAAAGGATACAGTCAACAAAACTCAAAGACAACCTACAGAATGGGAGAAGATATTTGCAAATGACGTATCAGATAAAGGGCTAGTTTCCAAGATCTATAAAGAACTTATGAAACTCAACAGCAAAGAAACAAACAATCCGATCATGAAATGGGCAAAAGACATGAAGAGAAATCTCACAGAGGAAGACATAGACATGGCCAACATGCACATGAGAAAATGCTCTGCATCACTTGCCATCAGGGAAATACAAATCAAAACCACAGTGAGATACCACCTCACACCAGTGAGAATGGGGAACATTAACAAGGCAGGAAACCACAAATGTTGGAGAGGATGCGGAGAAAAGGGAACCCTCTTACACTGTTGGTGGGAATGTGACCTGGTGCAGCCACTCTGGAAAACTGTGTGGAGGTTCCTCAAAGAGTTAAAAATAGACCTGCCCTACGACCCAGCAATTGCACTGTTAGGGATTTACCCCAAAGATTCAGATGCAATGAAACGCCGGGACACCTGCACCCCAATGTTTATAGTAGCAATGTCCACAATAGCCAAACTGTGGAAGGAGCCTCGGTGTCCATCGAAAGATGAATGGATAAAGAAGATGTGGTCTATGTACACAATGGAATATTACTCAGCCATTAGAAATGACAAATACCCACCATTTGCTTCGACATGGATGGGACTGGAGGGTATTATGCTGAGTGAAATAAGTCAATCGGAGAAGGACAAACATTATATGGTCTCATTCATTTGGGGAATATAAATAATAGTGAAAGGGAATATAAGGGAAGGGAGAAGAAGTGTGTGGGAAATATCAGGGAGACAGAACATAAAGACTCCTAACTCTGGGAAACGAACTAGGGGTGGTATAAGGGGAGGAGGGCGGGGGGTGGGAGTGAATGGGTGGCGGGCACTGGGGGTTATTCTGTATGTTGGTAAATTGAACACCAATAAAAAATAAATTAAAAAAAAAAAGAACTCTAGTTTGGGTTGGTTCTATTCTGGGTGTGAGGCTGACCTCTGGTGGCCACTCTGTTAGTCAATTTGCTCAGGTTAGTCATTGATTTAAAAAAAAAAAAGGCTCAGGTGCAGGTTCTGGGCAGATTGTGGGGAAAGAGAAAAACATAATTGAATGAAACAGTCCCTGCCCTGCAGGAGCTCACAGCCTGGCAGGGAGGCCATTCTCAGAAGAGGAGAAAAGTCTGTGATAAGTAGAAGCACAGAGACCATAAGATCACAGAAAGAAAGGAATAATGTGAAGCCCACACTATATTTGTAAGGCACCTCCAATATCTATGATCTCATGTAGTGCTTCTAACTACCTTCAAGGTACTTGTTATTGGCATTCCACTTGCTAAGTAAATGTGGAGGCCCAGAGGTGTTCAGCCAGTGAGTGGAGCCAGGGTTCCAGCTCAGGGCTCATGACTCTCTCCTGCACCTGGCTCGGCCCAAGGGACAGGCCCAGAGGGAGGGGCGTGGGATCTGCTGGAGGAGAAGGAGGTAAGCAAGCAGAGAGAGAGGAAGTGTGTGTGTGGGGGGGTGTAGGAATGGTGTGAGGAAAACAGAAACCTGGGAGAAGGCAGATGCTGCATTGTAAAGGGGCTGGAGGTCCTGCAAGGAAGTCATGGGCTGTCCAGTAATGGGAAGCCAGGAGGGCTTCCCAAGGAAAGTGGTAGGATTGTATTTTGGTTTTTAAAGCTGGTTATGCTTCAGTGGGAGGATGGGTTGAGGGGTCGACCTGGAGCTGGTTGCTACTGCCAATGCCAAAGTGATGCTGACCTGAGCCTGGTGTGAGGATGGGCAGTAGATCCTCCAGCCCAGAGGTGAGCTATTCCAGGTGCTGGGACACGGCAGGGAACAAAACATGAGTCCTGCGCACTCCCCCTGATGGGGCATGCTGACCACAAGTAAGGTAAGTGAAACATTTAGTCCATCGGGTGGATAAGGTTCTTGTGGAGAAAAGTCCTACTGGGAAGGAGAATAGGGAACATGGGTGAGGGGGTGGGGTGGGGCAGGAACTGTAGTTTTCAATAAAGTGCTCAGAGATGGTTTTACTGAAGAGATGACAAAGAACTGAAGAGGTATGGAAGTGGCAGGTGCAAAGGGCCTGAGACTGGAGCACATCTGGGGATTCTGGGAACACAAAGCCAAGGAGCCAGAGTGGAGTAAGCAAGGGCTAGAGATGGAGGTAGAGAGGTAGAGGGTCTGGGGTAGGGGTACATGGAGCTTTGAAGGTCACTGTGCCAATTGGGGCCTTTACTCTGAATGATGAAGGAGCCACCGGAGGGTTGTGAACAGAGCAGTGACATGATCTGACATGTTTTAAAAGGATCACTGAAGCTGCCTTGTTGACAGCAAATTGCAGGGAGGACAACATAGCTCCATTCTGATGAGAGTGCGTGGAGAATGAGAATTCCATAAAGGATGCCAAGGAGAAGCAGCTGAGAAGCCAAGAAGGAAGACCTGAGAGAGCGAAGTCAAGAAGCCTAGGAAGGCAGGAGTTTGCAAAAGGAGGGAGCCATAGGCAGAGTCAAGTGGTTCCTAGAAGTCAGGTAAGAGGACTGGGAAGCATCCCCTGCTGAAGCCATGGGTCCCTGGAGACTTGGAAAGGGCAGTTCATGTGGAAGGGTAGGGACAGAAGCCAGACCACTGTAGGTTGAGAGCGCCACTAAATCCCCCCAGGCCCCAAAGGTCTGTACATTGATCCCAGAGTTGGAAGACCTTGGAAGGAAAGCAAGAAGGCACATTATGAGGGCCTTGGAGAAGCTCTGGTCTTCCCACTCACTTAAGCAGAGGGTGGACCGAGTAACCAGTGCTAGACCACAGGGCTCTGTGGTGCCTGAGTGTGGCCTGGATACAGGTCTCCTGGCCCCCAGCCATGTACTCTTCCCACGTGTCCCAATGTAACACGAGTGCCACAACAAACAAGCCCCCAAGTCGAGGGGGTCAAAGCAACAACTGTTTATTTCTTGCTTAATCTTGGTTAAGCAATTAACCAATGGTCAACCAGGGTTAATGATTAATGATGGCCAATTGGTTAATTTCTTACACTAATCTAGTGCAGGTGCCTAGTTAATTGGCACTTGTCTTCCACATGGAGATTCAGAAGCACAGGTTCCTTGCAGCTGGTGGCTCCCCTGTCAACAATGGTTCTTAACCATTTTTATGTCCTATATTCCTTTGGGAAGCTAATGAAAGCTACTAGGAAAAACTGCACCTATGCCCATCCACACAAAATTTTGCACACTTTCAAGGGGCTCATAGACCTCATGAAACCATCTATAGAATCCCTAGGGGGTCCACAGACCCAAGTGAAAACCCTTGTGTGGGGCCTCAGAGACCTCCCTGTCATGTGGTAATGGGGGCAAAAGTGTGAAAGAGGCCCACCTACTTTTTTTTTTTAATTTTAGTTTTTTGAGAAAGAGAGAAGGTATGAGCAAAGAGGGAGAGAGAGACTCTCAAGTGGACTCCCCATGGAGGGCAGGGCCTGTCTTGGGGCTCAATCTCATGACCCTGAGATCATGGCCTGAGCCCAAATCAAGGGTTGGATGTTTAACTGAGCCACCGAGATGCCCCCCCCCCCACTTACTTTTTAAAGCTCTGGCTTCCATTCAGTCCACTGGCCAAAATGACCTGACCCAACTGAGGTGCCGGAGGAGGCAAGGAGATGTAGTTACAGGGACCTGCTGGCACCGTGGAGAGGGCCACGACATGCAGCAGGCAGCTTGCCCTGACACATCGCGCCGTCAGGCGGGTCTGCACGAGGATTATGGTGTTCCTCACATATGTAGTTTTAGACTTTAGTCCTTTCATGGACTGTTCGCTCACTCCCTTCCAACCTCGCTCCTGCTCTTCCTTCCTCCTTACTTCTTTGCCCTCTAAAGTCAGCCCGATTTCTGAGAGCCCTGCTGAAGGCCTGGCTCCCCCGGGATGCTTTCTCTGGCTGTTTTAATCTGCCATCTCTGGCCCCTTGGGGCTCATAATTCCCACCTTTCATTTAGTGTTGTTCTGTGATGGCTCTTTTTTGTTAGCATATAATGAGAAGGGTCTGTTTTTTTTTTTAAAGGTATTTATTTATTTGAGAGAGAGAGAGAGAGAGAGAGAGCACAAGCAGGGGGAGAGGCAGAGAGAGGGAGACAAACAGGCTCCCCACTCAGGAGAACTGGACAGAAGGGCTCGATCCCAAGACCCTGGGACCATGACCAGAGCTGAAGGCAGATGCTCAACTGACTGAGCCACTCTGGCACCCCTGGGTCTGATTTTTTGGTCCTACTGGACTGTGTCTTCCACAGACCCCCAGCATGTCTGCTCTGTGTTCCTGTGCCCCTGCCACCAGGCACACTGTCCTCAGCCTCTGGATGCAGTCGCGCCTGAACTCAGAGGTAGCCCGGACTCATAAAGTCCACACTCCAGAGGCCAGAGGCCAGTCCCACCCTGCCAAGGCTGGGTAACCACGCTCTCCGGTCCTGCCCTGGGTGACAGGCTCCACTTCTCAAAGTCATTATTCAGCTCCAGACGCCAGGCCACTTTAGCCTCCCTCAATTAATTAAAATATCACATAATAAAAATTCTCTGATTTAATGTTCAGGAGACCCTGGCAAAGGCTGGGAACGAGGAAATTCATTAGAGGGGACTGTTCACTGTCGATTGATTTGCTCGTTCTTATTAAATTTTCCTGTGTCATCCATCCCTGGGGGAGAAGGGAGGGCAATGTTTTTTAAAGACATAGAATTAATTTTACCATAAAATTCGAAGGAAAAAATCCATTTTGACTAAAAATCAGGCTTTTTGTATAAGGTGGGAAGTGGGTACATTTGGGATTGAACATTGTCTTTCGAATGATCTCCCTTAAGCCCAGTTATAACTCATTTAGCAATAGGAGACTGAGATTCAGGCTGCCCACCTCCTGCAGCTTCAGGTCCAACCTCCTTGGATGGCAGTGAGGGGTGTGGCCGAAAACCACTGTCCCCCACCTGCCACTACAGCTCCAGGCATCTACCACAGGTCACTACTCCCCTTCACAAGCTACCCTTCACTTCTCCACCCCTGCTCCTTTCACATACTCTTGCCCTACCTCAGAGTTCCCCATACCTACTCCAATTGCCAGCTCAGATGCCTCCTCTTCCAGGAAGTCTTCTCTGACTTCCCCCTGAGCTGATCACAAAGCAGACACCTTGTGCTGCCTTGCAGGACTGTAACCTCATCCCACCCCTCCCCACTTGAGTCTCATCTGAGGGCCCAGGTCCCACCCACCTTTTTTTTTTTTTTAAAACATTTTATTTATTCGTGAGAAACACACACAGAGACAGAGAGAGAGGCAGAGACCTAGGCAGTGGGAGAAGCAGGCTCCATGCCGGAAGCCCGATGTGGGACTTGATTCCAGCACTCCGGTATCACTCTCTGAGCCAAAGGCAGATGCTCAACCACTGAGCCACCCAGGCATCCCGCCACCCACCTTCATATTGCCAGTGTTTGCATCTTTCTGGCCTCTCGAAAACACCACCCTGTGTGCATGTGGGAGATGACAGAGCGCACAGGTCTCTGAGTGACTGAAATACTAGGATGAGTATTCAGTGGGAGATACAAGTTCTGAGGGAGTTAGAAGGATCAGGCCGGCAGGAGGCAATTAGCACTAGTTAAACACTGTGAGCAAGGTGTCCAGGTGGGGCTGTGACCAGAGCCCAGGTGTGAGGGGAGAGGAGGATTCAGATCAAAGTAGCTGATGTGGGCAAGAAAAGGGCAAGGGATGTCAAGGGCGTTGGAGACGTATCTGAGGGACCTGCTCCCACCCACAGCAGTATTCTAAGAACAAAGAGACCACCAAGACTGTCCTTAAAAACATTTATTTTCAGGTGCAGGGGTCATGTGACAGCATACCATTTATAAAAACAGAGCAGAAGACACAGGCTCTGGGGGCATCATGTTTCTGAAGGGCAACAGCCATAGCACAGTCCTCTCGGCCTTGGGGACGGAGGGGGTAATATCTCTGGACTCTCCTAGTTGAAAAGTCATTAGGTTGGAACAATCCTGTTAATCTGTCTTTTTGGTTTTGGTGAAAATTTCAGAGAGTGCGAGATGATCACTATTATTTTGCACATCATTACGACATTCACCCAGCCTCCTGCGGTTTTGATGTTTAGCTCTGCCAACCAAGCGTTCCGTCTGCCCCCCTGCCCTTGGCATCTAGACCCAGCTCTCCAACTGTGACTGGGCAAATGGGAGGGGAGTCAAGCGATCTCGCTGAATGCATTTATCAGCAGATGTGCGATTGTTCTAGTACCTTCTCCAGGGCCAAAGCATCCCTACTTCTCCTGACAGTTTCGCTAAGTGCCTTACCAATTCTTCTCACTATTCAAATCACAGAAGACTTAGCTGCAGACCTTGGATAAGAAACCCCCAAGGTGGGGTGGGGAGAGAGGAGGGGGTGCAGAGTAGGGGGGATGTGAGCGGGTTCCCCTGCAGCCCCGACCTCCAACAGACATGTACAGCTTCTAGTTAATCTGTTTCAGCTCTGATCTTATTCAAAGAAAGGGGTTCTGATGTTTTAAAGTTTGCAAACCACCCATCTAGTGTCATTTCCTTCTTATTGAAATGAGGAAACCCAGGTCCAGAAGGTGAAGGGGACTTGCTTGCAGTTGGGCAGCAAGCCAGGGATGAATTCCCAAATGGACCTCATGTTTCTGGATTCCCAGGCCATGCTCCTGCCATGTAGTACATCAGGGTGATGCCACCCCAATGTGTTTCAGAGATGGAATGGCCAGGCTCAAAGGCAGAAAACTTAATTCCAAAAAGGATTCCAGAATGTAATGCCCAGCGGGAGTGGCATGGGAGTGTGCTATAAAAGCTGAGCGGGACGGTGCTAAGAGTCCCTGGAACCCCCAGAACCTTCCATTATGTAGCTACGAGATTGCCCGAGAAGCAGCACCATGGCAGGGGAGGGGGCCCAGGAGGGCCAAGTGCCCTGAGTTCTGGTCCTTCTTAGAGGCCTTCAGTCCTCAGGTCGGTACCTCCCTCTCTGAGCCTGGTTCCTTCATCTGCAAAGAGGGGGCGGGGCCCTGCCTGCCGTCCTGGAGATGGAAGGACCACAGACAGAGAAGCGCTCAGGAGCTTGAAGGACTAGACACAACGGAGATCCCAGTCCTGACTTAAAAAAATTTTGATCACCTAAGGGATCTATTTTTTCACCCAGGTATTAAATACTCTTCCCATTACAAAAAGAAAGAAAGAAAAGAAAGGAAAAGAAAGGAAAAGTAAGAAAGCAAGCCAGCCCGCCTTATTCCTAGGTAAGGTGAAAACATCTCCAAGTAAAATTATTTTGTTACACTCTAATCCCAGAGAAAGAAGCATCTGACCCCCTTTCCTCCGTTTGATGTCCAGAAGCCACTGCCACCTGATTAGAAAGTGCTGGGCTTGTGGACAAGGGGACATCTTGGTCCCCAAACATCCAGCCAAGGGGCTCCTGAGTTAGGGAACGTGTCCTACCCAGGGCTCCATCTCTTTAAGGCGGGAAATGGCAGGAAAGGGAGCGCCGAGGCCAGCTCCACAGCCTTGCAGCTGTTTTTGAGGGACTGCCACATAAAAGGAACGCGAAGACTCTGCCTCTCGTATTTTTCCACAGGACCATTTCACTAGAATGACACAGCTCGAAGGGACCCAGGAACATTTAGTCCAAACACCAGGTTCCCAGGTGAAGAAGAAAAGGCCCAGAGAGGGGAAGGGCCTGTCCAGGCCACACAGCATGTCAGAGGAAGGCAGAGGACACTACCCTACCCCCTCCTCCTACAACTCACGCTAATCAGTCACGGACAAATGAAGTAAAGACTCATGGATGACACAGGCCTGGTTCCAGCCCTTTAGAATTACAAATACACCACCAGGTGACCTTCCCTGGGAGGAATTAGTTACAAAAGAATTCTCACAGAGCAATTCATTTCAAAAGTATAAAAAAGCCACATGCAGTCTGGTTTCCCAATGCCTGTCCTGCTAAAAACTACATCTGCATACGAATCTAGTTGGCATCTAGTTTGTAAAAACATATAAAAGGGGTCATCTACAAACACAGGTTTCTCCAAATCTTCACAAAGAAAACGATCCAAGACGACTTTTCCAACATCCTGTCATCAATGTTTCTAAGACCCTGGAAGGAAAGAGAGAAAAGCATGAGATGAAAGAAGCTGCTTTGTTATAATCAACTACGTGGTAAATGGAAGATGGGGGAAATGATCCTGAACTCTAAATCATCCTGGCAAGGGGTAGTGCTGGTGAGGACCAGAGGGGCACTGGGGGCAGGCAAAAGTGCACGTGGGACCACTGGGTGGACATTGCAGGGAGGCAAGATCCAGCTGAACACGAGCAAGAACTTTCAACTACTGGAAAATCCAAAGATGGATGTCGGTGGTAGTGAGCTCCAGATTACTGGAGGTATGCAAGCAAGAGCTGGCCAGTACTGCATGTTGCAGGGGAAAATGAAGAACTGCTTGGCAATGGTCTCAAAGTTTCATGGTGCTTTGTAGCTCCCTTTTGAAAACTCATCTGTAATAGACTACATTCATAGCCTGGTACCACGGTGTGTGTGTGTTTTTGAAAAATATACACATTAAAAATTGAATATATATTTAAAACATGAAATATAGAGAGGCACACACACAGATGTACACACATATATATGCATACAAGTGTGCAGGACCAAAGTCCTGATATGCGACATAATAACGTATAACAATACGCATCCATAGAAAACAAAGAACCATCTCCTGCCTGAATTCCTACTTGACAATTTCCCACCTTCTTTTTCCCTCCCGTTTCCAGCAGCTCTAACTACTTCATCCACTACCACTTCCTTGGTGCCACTCTCCCCTGCTCTCCCGGCTTCTTTTTTTTTTTCAAAGATTTTACTTATTCATGAGAGAGAGAGAGAGAGAGGCAGAGACACGGGCAGAGGGAAAGCAGGCTCCATGCAGGGAGCCCGATGCGGGACTCGATCCTGGGACTCCAGGATTATACCCTGGGCCGAAAGGCAGGCGTTAAACCACTGAGCCACCCAGGGATCCCCTTGTGATTTTGTTCTACCCGGTTCTAAGCCGATTCTCTCGCCTCAAACTCGTGCACACCCCTCGCTTCCTTAACACTGCACTTCTTGTATCTTAGTGACGTTCACTGTTTTGCTTTTCTGTGCAACCCTGCAGAGCCGATGTACGGCCTGTGCACAGAAGGTACACCCCGACAGTGGCTGAATATGAAAGAATATGGATGACAAGCACAGCAAAGTCCTGCGTGCCTGGCCCCGGGTCTCCTGTGACAGGAGCAGGGTCCTCTACCCCACCGATGCTGGGCGTGGCTGGACATAAGCAGACGTGACATATGCCACATCCGAGCAGAATTTTTATTTTTATTTTTTTAATTTCTTAAAAATTATATTTATTCATGAGAGACAGAGACAGAGAGAGAGAGAGAGACACAGGCAGAGGGAGAAGCAGGCTACCTGCAGGGAGCCCGACGTGGGACTAAATCCCAGGTCACGCCCTGGGCTGAAGGCGGCGCTAAACCGCTGAGCCACCCAGGCTGCCCTGAGCAGAATCTTTAAATGAGACTGTGTACCTGGCTCAGTGTCTCGCACACTCCCTCCGCCACAAGAATGGACATAGTCCACGCTGGGGCTGCTCCTCCGGCTGGGTGCCAGGATGACAAGACACATGGCGCAGAGCCACAGCCAGCCGAGTGGCAGCCATGACAAGGAACGTGAGCAAGACATACACGTGGGTGGCTGTGCACCAGCGGGCTCTGGGGTTGTTATGCAGCAAAAGCCGGCTAATTAAGGGGCTTATTTCCTAGGTTCATGGCCCACCTGTCGGCAGGGGACAGATGCAACCCCAGCTCTCACCCGGGGCGGGGGGGCAATAAGGACTGAGAGCCCTGGGGCCAGGGGAGATGCAGATTCTCCCGGACGTGCTGCTGAGCACGTACGGTGTTGAGGACAGGGAGGTACGGCCTGGAGACAGCAGAGCTGCCCGCCAGCAAGAACCCGGGGACAGACAAATGACGCTCAGACTGTCTCTGCTGTGGGCATGTTGTCACACTGCTCTCTGTGCAGGACTTGAAGGAAATATTCTCTTCTGCTTCAGAAACAGGAAAAAAAAAAAAAAAACAAGCCTGGTCTTCCCCACCTATGGACACCCACAGAGTTCACAGCTCTTGAGTTTGCACACTGTGTGAGAAGCCCAGGGTGGTACGTGTGTTGAACTAGAGTCTGTCTGCTAATTGCAATATGTGCCTACTTCCATTTGGTATTCCTCTGTTTCCTCGATTTATGTATTTTTCCTCTTTGTTATTATACATCTTATTTTTAAAAAGAGTTTATTATTTTTAAAAAGAGTGTATTCATGAGAGACACACAGAGAGAGGCAGAGACACAGATAGAGGGAGAAGCAGGCTCCCTGCAGGAGCCCGATGTGGGACTCGATCCCAGGACCCAGGGGTCACGCCCTGAGCTGAAGGCGGATGCTCAACCCCTGAGCCACCCAAGCGCCTTGTTACTGTATGCCACCTCGATCTCTTGTGACACAGGTGTATAAATACCAGAAATGACTTAAACCACGTACATTACTCCATCACATGCGGTCATCTGGAGCTGGGAGGCGGGGCGCGTTGTATTTACTCAGATCTATAACTGTCACCGTGCCCTGGGACTGGGCCTCCCCAACCACGTTGGCTGAATGGCACAGGTACACACCCTCGTCTTCCTTTCTCAGTGGGTTGATCTAGAAACAAAACAGGCAAGTTTCTGTAGTTACGTATGGCTTATTTAGTTCCTAATGATATGTCTGAACACTGATTTTTCAAAATCAGCTAGAGCTCACTATTCCTCTTCTTGTCTTGGGTAACCTACCTTAACCCTAACCCTAAAGAGTTAAATTTTATTCTCTGTACCTTCTCTCTTGGGGCTCTCATTTTAATGATTCCTTTGCATTCCCACCTTTCACTGTGGGCTACCCGGCCCTTTTATTGAAGGTGATAGGTATACATCACAAGGAAAATATTGCAAGTTAAAAGAAAACTCTACTGACCAAAGAATGACTCGTAAGTGCTTTCAGTGGAGACAGCCTTACAAAATAAAACGAGGGATAACATTTTCCTCTACCCTTTCGTGTGATAAACAGGGGAATGTGCTTGACTTGAAAAAGCCATGGACCCGATGGCACTCTGAGTGTCTGGGCCGGGTAGAGGAGTCACCAAACCTTGCAGAGTGGGAGTGAAATGAGGTTGACACTGTCTGAGAGCAGCCCGTCCTCGCGCCCCGGAAGAGCAGGCCCACACTGGCTCTCTACTCTCTCGCTTTCTCTTGGTAGAACCACCTCTGTCCACCATGGGTCACTCTGCAGACTGGGCAGGCATTACGCACAGCACTTCGTTCTGAACTCACGCCTATCGTGGGGGAAGGGGGGCATCATCATCCTGATATTGCAGGAGATTGGCAGGTAAGTCACAGACTACTGGGTCACAGGGCCCCTGGATCGTCTGTAGTCCAAAGCCCTCCTCGTACAATTGTGAACCTGAAGCTCAAGGGTAGAGTGACTAGCCCTACACACATCCCTGTCCGTCACTCCCTCACTCTTTCAAATACAGTGTGTTCCTGTGACTTAGCGAAACTGCTTGCAAGTGGCACAGGAGAGCCCAGCGGGGTGGGGGTGGGGCACCAGTGTGCTGACTTCCCTCTTTATTGGCCACATGGTCTTGGGCGAGTGTTATTAGTCTCCTGTGGCTGCTGTGACTAATCACCACATACTTCATGGCTTAAAACAACACAAATTTATTATATTTTGTTCTTTTTAAAAAAATCTTATTACAGATTTTATTTATTTGTTTTTTTTTAAGATTTTATTCATTTATTAGAGATAGCACACATAAGCGGTGGGGAGGGGAGAGGGAGAGGCAGATTCCCTGCTAAGCAGGACCTTGGAATCGTGATCTGAGCCAAAGGCAGATGCTCAACCCACTGAACCACCCAGGCGCCCCTAAAGATTTTATTTTTAAGCAATCTCTTTGCTCAATGTGAGGCTTGAGCTCGCAACCCCAAGAGATGGAGAGTCACACACTCCACCAACTGAGCCAGCCAGGCGCCCCTATATTTAGTTCTTGAGGATAGATGGTATCACCAGAGCTGCCTTCTTCCAAGGGGTCCTAAGGGAAAATCCATTTCTTGCCTTTCCCATCCTAGAGGTTGCCGGCATTCCTTGGCTTATGGCTCTCCTCTTCCATCTTTAAAGCAGGAGATGATGGCTCACATCTCCCCTATGCTGGCATCCCTCTGGCTCCTTCCCTCCTGCCTCCCTCTTCAGCATTTATTTTTTTTATTATTATTTTTTATGATTTTATTTATTCACGAGAGACACACAGAGGCAGAGACATAGGCAGAGGGAGAAGCAGCCTCCATGCTGGGAGCCTGATGTGGGACTCCATCCCAGCATTCTGGGATCACGCCCTGAGCCAAAGGCAGACGTTCTACCACTGAGCTGCCCAGGCGTCCCCCTCTTCAGCATTTAAAGGGCTCTTGTGATTATACTGGGCCCACCCAGATCATCCAGGATAACTCCCTTATTAAAGTTGGGTCATGAACACCCTTAATTCCATCTGCAACCTTAAGCCCCTCTCGCATATAACAGATCCTCAGATTCTGGGGACTGGGACGTGGACAGCTTTCCGGGGCCATAATTCTGAACACCACTGAAGGTCACTTATGTTCTCAGGGGTTAAACTTCCCTCACAGTTATTGCAGGGTCCAACGAGAAAATGATAAGAACAGCTCTGAGGGGATGCCTGGGTGGCTCAGTGGTTGAGCATCTGCCTTTGGCTCAGGTCATGATCCTGGGGTCCTGGGATCGGGTTCCACAACCGGCTCCCTGCTATCCCTCTGCCTATGTTTCTGTGTCTCTCATGAATAAATGAATAAAAATCTTAAAAAAAAAAACCAGCTTTGAAATGTGTAATGTGTTATAGAAATATAAGCAGTACTTTATAAGGGCCAGTCAATAATAGCCAGTAATCCGAAACAAATGAGATACTCACCAAAATCCAGGCTGTGGCCTCGTGGTCAGAAGGGCCCCCTCGCACCTGCACAGCTATATTGACGTGGTCCCCAGGCAGGTCCTCCAGCACCCGGGTACCCTCAGGAGACTGTGTGACCTGCAGAGGACAGAAAAACCATGGGTGGTTTAGAAAAAGCATCCTTACTGTCATCATCTTCCGACTGACTCAAAGGCCATATCCTAGCACCTCTTATTCCTAGTAAAAATACGTCAGTGGCTTTATAAACCTAAATGTCTGTGCAGACAGCACCCCCTGCTGGACAGTAACGATGCCGACACCACCGTTATCCCACAGAAGTGGTTCAGAGTTTCGTGACCCTTCCGGGGCTGTTGAGCTGGGGGCACAGCTATGCTATGACCCACGCCAGTCTCTCACAAATTGATCTGCAGGAAGATCTAGTTTTGGAATAGGATTTGGAGAGTCTTTCTAAAACCCAGATCCCGTGAAGTAGGCTCTAACTTCATTCCAGTGCATCTAGGCTAGATAAACGGCGAACTTTCTGGACAGCTGAAGGGCCGAGGGAGCAAATGGCACAAGGAAAAGCTGGCTAGTCCCCTCTCTGGGGAGAGCTCCGGGGTAAAAGTTCTGAGGCATATACACTTGGAGGTAGAAGAGTGACATGTACCATATCATTTTTTAAACCATCCATTCCACAGATGCAGACGTACAAGCACACAGATCTCTCTCTCTCTCTCTCTCTCTCTCACTCACACACACACACAGAATTCTTGGACATAAATACCTTCCTCCACGTGATGACAGGGGTGGGCACAGCCCTCACCTCACAGGACAGGTACACCTGTGCCCCGGTGACGTTGTGAACACTCCGGGGTGGAATGATGACCACAGGAGCTGGAGGAAGAAGACAAGGGATGACAAGGGGTCACGACCTTTACCCTGCCCGCAGCCCCGCGTGAGGGGAGGGGAGCGGCAGCAAGGAGCTGCCACAAAGAGCTCGCTCGGTCGGGGTCGGTCGCAGGCGAGTCCCGGTTCCCTCAGACCTGGAGGGCCGCCTACGCGCTTCCTCACCCATCGCCTTTGTTCTACCAACAGCAACACAGGGATCTGGAGAGGAAAGGCGACTTCCCAAATCCGCCACCACGTCGGCGGCAGAGCTTGGGGCTCGTCACCCCCGTGCCCAGGCCCCTTCCGGGACGCCGGCTGCCATCTGCTCACGGAGGGGCCGGTGTCACCTCACCAACGCCAAGCCTTCTAGCAGATGGGCTTTTCTCCTTGCACGTGGAGGGCGGTTCAAAGACTAGGCCGAGCGGAGCAGCTGCACTCCGAGCTGAGACCCCCTGCGGGGCCTTCCAGACGCTCGTTTGCATATCACAGACTCCAGACTCCGCGGGCCTCCCCTCCCCACGGCCTCCTGGCCTCCTGGGGCAGAGCTCAGGCACCGAAGCCCCTGCACAGGGTCTGAGGACACCCCGAGAGGGGCGACCTCCTGGGACCACCCTACCCAGGCAGTGCCACTCTAGGCTGCCAGAACATTACAGAAAAGGGGGGGGGGGCGGTGCTGGCTGGCTGGGCCCGAGACCATGGGATATCCGAGTGGGAAGTACTTAGCTGGCACTCCACACTGCCCTCCTCTCAGTGCCCTCCACGTGCTCTGCTCGCAATGGTGCTAAAAGAATCAAGTCCGGCCACCTCGGCTTCCAGGCCCTGCACCGAGGCGCTCGACTGACCTGCCCGCACTGCCTGCCTCCCCTCTGCTTGGCATGCATGACCCCCCAAGTCCATAGGGGACAGCTCCCCATCCCGCAGGACCTGGAGGGTGTGTGTCTGAGTCCAGGACCAGGGCGCCTGCACCCCTCTGACCTGCTAGATGACAGCCAGCAGGCAGTCCAGGTGCTTCCCCTGGCCTCACCTGGCCTTGACAGCAGCGGGACTCACCCCTGCATCCAGCCCAGCAGCGTCCCGGACAAGATGCAGTGCGGAGGCCCGGTGAGGACAATGCTCCCTGCTTGGCGTCTGTAAGATGGGGATCATACCCCCTGCTCGCAGGGCTGTTGAGCTGATCTTACCCTGGGATGAGTGTGAGAGTAGTGGTTTAAGTTACCAGGACGTATAAGTGGGCATCTGGTAAACAGATGACTAGATGAAGAAACACATGGCAAAGAAGGAGCAAACAAACTGCAGGGTTTATGCTCCCGGGGCTTCGCCTTGTGACTCATGTGTTCTCCTGGAGAGGGATGGGGCGCTCGCCTGTCTGGGTGCAGCTGCAATAAAAAAGGAGAGCCAGGGGAGGGAGGGAGAAGGCCGCAGGAGGAGGGGGAGGGCCAGAAGTGAAAGGGCACAGAAATAAGACTGGTCTGGCCCCTGCACACAGACTTGTCAAGCTGGTAAAAAAAAAAAAAAAAAAAAAAAAAACCTCCGGAAAATTGTCTTAGAACCAGAGTTTCAAACCTGAGGGCCCCAACTCCCCCAAGATCCTGTGCCTAACCATCTATGATGTGTTCAGTTTAGCATCCACTTGCATGCCTCCAGTGACAGAGAGCTCACTACCTATAGAGCCAGGCCTTTCCACCCTAGGAGAGCCCTGCTGGTAAGAAAGTTTCTCTTCACCTGGAGCTAAAACTCACCTGCTTGTAACTCCCACATGTTGATCGCAGGGCTGCTTCACTGGAGCCCTATAGCTTCCTGGGTGCCCCATGGGCCTCTATGGAATACAGACACTAACATCCCTCCCCCCTGCCCCACTGCTTTCTCCTCCCTCAGCCTCATCAGCCCGCTTCCTCAGTTGTGCCCATCTGATTGCTTTCCAAGCACCATGGCTCTACCCACAACGCTGAGTGCAGCCAAAGTGCCCTTGTTGAACCAAGGCCCTAGGCTTCTAACATTGTCAGAAGCATCTCAGCCACCTGCAAACTGCCACAAAGAACCACAACACCCCTCCTCTCCAGCAGGGGCCCCATCTGCAACATGACAAAGAGAGTCTAATTTATCTGCACCCTCCCACCAACATCCCCTCCCCTGGAGCCCAACACTCCTCAAATAGCTCGCTGGGGGAACAATCAGAACCCTATCTTATTCCAAAGCCCTCAATGGATTCCAAAGGGACACTCAATCAACATGTTTTACTTTCATTCATGTAAAGTCATAAATTTTAAATGAGATTTCATCAATCTCTCTCAGGCCTAAACGAATAAACCAGTAAATCACATTTCGACGTTCTCTTGCCTCAAATTTTCCCTCTCCCTCTTTTGAAGACTGTCGTGGAAACAGTGTCTTTGCTACTGATCTTGTGGCAGAAAATATCACTTCCTTGACAAAAGAGCCCCCGGCTTTTGATGATAAAGTAAGGTTCACATTTTTATTGATTTTAAAATTTACATACAGCACATTTACTCCTTGTGGAGTGCAACTCTCGAGTTTCGACAAATGCCTACGGTCGTGTAACCACCACCACAACCAAGATTTAGAAGAGTCCAGTTACTGCAAAAAATTCCCTCATGTTGCTCTTTGTCACAGGAATCTGGTTTTAATATTAACCTATCTGATTTTTAATTTAAAATATTTTTATCCATCATAGCTTCTCATAATCAGCCACCACCATCATCATAGTAATAATGGTAATAATGCCACCATCTAACTCCGAGAGCTTGCTGTGTGCTAGGCACTCTAGTCTGCTCCCAGGGGTTAACTCATTCCATCTTTGCAGAAATTTCATCAGCTGTGGAGCTAGCTAGGGCTACCCAGGCTTAAATGGTTGGGTGAGACTTTGAGCCCAGGGTTCTGAGCTTTGCCCCACAGAGTCTTGTCCTCTACTTGGATGACACTTCCCTGTACACTACTCCTTTCATCCTTAAACATACTCTTCTAAGCAGGTGCTTCTATCCCCATTCTACAGATGAGATAAACCAAGGCTCAGCAAGGTGAAGGGCCTGGAGGAACAGGGACTCAAACCCAGGCACCCTGATCGCATCAACTCTCCACTGAGTTTTAAAGTGAAACATATGTGGTCTGTATGGACTCCATTCCAGAATATGAAAGAGCTCCTTAGGGACTGCACTGAGGATCCCTAAGACAATCCCTAGGTTCAGTGATTTGCTAGGACGACTTACAGGCCTCAGCAGTTTTACACACGGCTATAATTTGTTACAGCGAAAGGAGACAAAGCAAACAGCAAAGGGAAAAGGAGCTCACAGGATCAAGAGGGAAAACCCGGCATGAGCTTCCCGGAGCCTCTCCTGGTGGATCACACAGGACACAACTAATCCCCCAATAGTGAATGGTGACAGCACGTGTGAAATGCCATCTGCCAGGGAGGCTCTCTAGAGACTCCATGCCCGGGAATTTTGTTGGGGGCAGGTCACCTGGGCACCCTCTGCTTGACCAAAATTCCAGGGTCCTGAAGAAGAGCAGGCGTGCAGCATAAAGCGGGTTGTCTGTACGGTTTAGGCATCAGTGTGAAAATGGCAGGAACCTTCCTGAAATCCAAGTTCCCGGACACGAGCCATGGTCAACCTGACCAGAGGCCTTTCTAAGGTAAGGATAAGTCCCAGGCCTGCTCTGTTTACTCTCTTCTGCATGGTGGTGGTGGTGGTGGAAGGGGGGAAATCCCTCCAAACCACCCCCAGGGAACAGCTCTTGTGAAGACACTATTAAATGGGTGATGTGTCTTTTACACTAGCAGGACATTCCCAATCCTGCTGTCGCCAAGGGCTCATTCGAGTGTGGTGCTGGGATGCTCCCAACATCATGACTCCTACAGGCAGAATAGACCCAGTTTCAAATCCTGCCTCTGCTACACCTGCAATGCTGTGACTTGGTCTCAATTTCTTCTGTGGTGTCTACTCTCCTTCCTCTCTCCTCTCCCCCCCCCCCCCGCCAGGGAGGAAGAGCTCCAAGAACCCTTGCAAACCATAAAAGGCAACTGGACGTGGCAGGCTGTGCTGCCCCATGGGGAATCTCCTCCTCAGAAGCTCCTAGCCTGCTCCAGACTGACGGCCTCCTGGCCTCCGGGGGAGCAGGCCTCTAGGTGGGCCCTGCCCAGAGGTTCCAGACCCCATGCCCACAGCCTTCTTTCTGGCCAGCCTGGGGCACAGCCTCTCACCTCGCGATTGCCAGGGCTGCCACACTCCTGGAAGAGCCAGTGCTTTCCTTTCTATCTGCGTTTGACGAAAGTGATGTGGATTTCTGGAGGAAGGATGGTGCCCGGTGGGCCCAGTCTGTGAATGTGCCAGCTTTGTCTCTCTAGCTCTTTCTGGCTAAATACTTGCTTCCTTCTGTCCATGCCAGCAACAGCTCTAGAAAAGCTGGGATGGCACAGATCCACCCATCAGGTAATAGAATAGTCACCCACATGTGCACCCACAGAGGTAGCGCTGGGCATGCATAGAGGGAAACTCAAATGCCCCAGGGTCCCGGTGCCAACCATGGCAGCTTGGGCAAGTCATCAACCATTTCCTCCTTGTCTGCAAATGAAGACAGTCACTGCTACTCGAGTCTGCTCTGGGGTAAAGGGAGAGGATGGATGTGGCTGAATTATTAACCATGTGGGTCTATACGAGTGAGAGGGGTCGACAGTATTTTTCTAGTGTGTGGTGATCTGTCCCCCCACACGGTCAACTAGATCTGTCCTTGATGGCTAGAATGAAAGATCTTCCCAAAAGCCTCTGAGGTTCCTTTTAAGTCAATGGTGCCGAGGAAAGAAAGAATATCAAAAGTCGTCCTCCAGGACCCCATCTGCTTGTACAAAGAAGTGCACAACCAAAGAGTTTAATCATCAATGCATTGAACAGCCCTGATAATTTATGCTAATAGTCATGTTAGGATGTGGAAGGAGAAACAGCTTAATCCGGCTCCCCGCAGCCCGTGCCGCACACCCCCTCCCTCGGCATGAAAGGCAGTTGAGCACGAGGCCCCCGTCTTTGTCCCTCTCACAAAGTGGCGCTTGCAGCCTCTCCCGGTTACCTGGTAACACGCGTCTCGCTCAGGCTGCGATTTCTAAGTGGAGCTGGAATGTCAACGGAGGTGGATTTTCTAAGATTCAGGATCTCAAGAGCGCAGTGAAGCTTCGGGGGCCCAGGACCCTGGTGGGTACTGGCCGGGGACCCTGATCCTATCTGATTTAGCATTCAGAACCGGCTAGCAACCTGCTGCCCGCAGGATCCCAGTCCCCTCCCTGTGTCAGCAAATGGCCAGGGAGCACGCAGGGAACGACACAGCCTTTTAAAGTAATGACAGCAGCAACGACACCATGCCACTTTACAGCTCAGAACAAAACCACTAACTCAGTACAGAACGAAGCTTCATCCCTCAGCCTGGTGCTCAAGGCTGGCAATGCCCCTGCCCCAAACCTCTATGCGCCTCACCCCCGGCCCCAGGCACACCCCCTCCCCCATACCTGCCCAGCAGCCAAGGTTTGCACCCACCTAAGGACCTCCCCATCCCCCTCTCTCCCCAAGAATTTTCTAAAAGTCCTTCAAGGTTCCTCTCAGATATCTTCCCCTCGTGAAGCTATCCCTGAAGAGAGGAGCCAGCAACAAGCCTTGAGGGAAAAGCAGAAGGTGGATCCAGACCCAGAAACCCTCAAGATTCAAGGGTAGCCAATTTGCAGCCCCATCCTGATCAGGAGGCCAGTAGGCTAGACGTGCCTGGCTCCGTGTGAAGAGAGCCGGGCAAAGCCAGGCTGAGGCCCTACCTCAGCTAGGAGCTAGCCAGGAAGCTCCATGGAACTCCCTTCTGTGTGCCTCCATTCTCCTTTCTATTAAAGAGGAGTGAGGGCACCTGGGTGGCTCAGTGGTTGAGCATCCGCCTTCGGTTCAGGTCGTGATCCCGGGGTCCTGGGATCGAGTCCCGCATCGGGCTCCCTTGCATGGAGCCCGCTTCTCCCCCTGCCTACATCTCTGCCTCTCTCTCTGTGTGTGTATCTCTCATGAATAAATAAATAAAATCCTTAAAAAAAAAGAAAAGAGGAGTAAGATCTGGCCCAGGGGCTGGTGTTCTGAAAACTGCGTAAGAAGAGATGCAAGAGCGATTTTCAACAGTCAAGAATTCCTCATCTAAGCGAACAGGGTGAGTCTTCCTTAAATGTGTTAATCAAAGGATTGCTCTTATTGTTAGGTGTTCTGGGGGGAGTTTCAGACCATAGGAAAAGGTCAGAATTTAAGCCTGCAAATGGTTTCCAAATGCCCCACAGAGGCATGTGTAAGAACCCTTCCCGCACCTTTCGGAACCTGATAAATATTTACGGGGTCTCATTCCATTAAAGTCAGGTGCTCGCTTGTTGAAGGATAGGTGAGCGCCGAGGAGGGGTAATTTTATTAACAATATTGAAGCAGAACAGCTGCCACTATGACTCAGCCTGTTTCCCTTCCACCCGGGTCCCTAGGGGCATTGTTAAAAAGTACCCCTGCTGTGTCGTCTGAATAAAGGATGGCTTTAGGGAGGCACAAGGAGATGTCCCCTTCACTGGCTGGGAAAGAGGTCCCCATCCACACCTTCATGCTTCACCAGGACACGAAGGCAGGGGCCACAAGCACATTTCAGGACGAAGAGAGATGGAACAAGAGTGCCTGAGTCTGTGGCAGATGACATCATTGCTGGTGGGGAAGGAGAGCTAAATTCTGGGGAGGCCTGATGCCTGTCACTAACAAGATCATTAAAAGCAGTTTCTGACTTTCCTTCCTTTTAGTTCGTTGAACATCTTTACTCTCGGGGCCTGTGCCCGGGGTGGGCCTCAGAGCCCATAGATCAGAGTGGAGGGGCTGTCACATTTACTTGTCATTTGGTAATTTTCAGTGAATTAGGGGTATGGGGTTTCCATCTGCCATCTGGCCGCACTCTGGTAACCATGGCAACCACCACCTGCCTGACTTAACACTATCAAGTCCTGTCCCGAAAGAGCACTACACAGGGTGTCGGGGTCCTGGATGCCCGTCAGGCTTTCCTGGTCATCCTGGCTGTGTCCCCTGCGCCCCCACTCCCACCCCCACCCCAGGTCTCAGTCTCCTCTGCACAATAGCAGATTTGGTCTATGTGTCTTCAGGGTGGCTCTGTTTTAGGAATAGAGTATCACTCCAGGGAGAAATAATCTGAGACCATCAGCACCGGCTAGATTCTGGGGACTTGGTCAGCATTTCTTGTGTCTCCAGTGTGTGGAGTGAAAAGTGTGGCCTGTCTGGAGACAAAGAGAACTGCCTGTGAATTAACTGCTAAGGAAAGCAGATTGTAAAAAGGAGTGATGGGAGCTAGAAGAAGGAAGGAGGCAGGACTGTTTAAATGCCACGGGGCAGAGACAAAGGTTCAAAGTGGAAGGGACCTCAACAGTGGCTCCACCGGGCTGTCAGGGCCCAGAGAGGGTCAGGGACCAGCCCAAGGTCACTCAGGGAAACCAGCAGCAACTCGGGAAGCACCTGCCAGCTCTTTCCTCCCTTCTTTTTCCTGGGAGCCCCGGCCAGGAATAGCCAACGGTGACTCTCCTGTGCTCCGGGGCTGCTGCAGCCCCCTCAATGGGCAGCACATTGTTTTTGTGTTTCCAGAGATAGGAACCTTCCCACCCCATCCCCAACAACCCTCTGGGTCTCCTGTACTTGAGTGCACGTACCTGGAATGCTTAGGGGGTGGGAAATAATACTAAAAATTACCCAGGGCCTGGAAAAGGTGGACCCTTACCCCCAAGGCTTTCCTGTTGGAGCTAAAGTCATTACACTGATTTAGGCATTTAGGTCTAGACTTGGGTCTGGAGGCCCAGGCCAGAACCCCCAACCAGACTCCTTGGAACTTCCTGGCCACCAGCTCACTCACCAACTCTCCACTGCCCCCTCCAGGCAGTGTAGACGGGGGCAGTTCTCCAAAACCTAATGGGCCATCAGGGTGCTTCACTGGGCATCCCTATACTGATGTTTTCGATCTATTTTTGTTTGAGTTTAAAAAATTCCATATAGAGTTGGGCAACAACGGCACCCATAGATGACTTTACTGGGATGTTAATAAACCTTAAGTTTCTAGGTACCCAGCAATGAATACGTTTCCATTCCTTTAACCTTCAAATCATATGAGCCTTGGACCTGCGAAATCCAGATCTGGCCCTGATGGCACCATCATCTTTTCAGAGCTTAGGTCCTCAAAGGTCTTAACTGTCCTGGGTGGGAGATCCCTCAGGTCCTCCTAGCAGGGTCCCAACCCTGGGGTTCTGGCCCAGTGATTCCCAAGTCCCCTGTCTGGAGTGCCTCCTCCCCCAGCATCTTCACCTTCCCTCCCTCTTCATTCATCAACCCCACCCTGCGCGGCCCAGTGCCAGTTCGGGGAACTTCCACCCTGTAGGACTCCTCCTCCCCCCACTCCCAGTCGGCTGGGGGCATCCATGGCAGGCTGCACTAACTGCAGGCCTTTCGGTAGGTAAGTACCAAAAGGGACAGCAGGCTCACCAAAATTCTGACCAGCGCAGGGGCTTGTATCTCCATGAGCCTGGCAAGGAAGGGGGCAGGATGTGGATTCCTGTCCCAAGTCTCCTGGAGCACCTGGCCAGGTAAGAAACCCTGCTTCTGAAGGGAAAACCGAGGCTCTACCGATCACCGTGCGTGCGGGGATCCTCTGTTCCACATTCCGGGGGGGCGGGGGGGCTGGGGTCCCTATTTCTCCTCCCGCCCCAGCACCGCGGTACCGAAGCAGGACTCACCGAATTCGCAGGGGCCGTCGCGCGCCTTGCGCAGGTGGCCGGGGTGCGGGCGGGGCGCGTGCCGGGCGCGCAGGCGCAGCGCGCAGATGCTGGGGTAGGAGCGGCCGTCGGAGCCGCAGACGGCGCCGCGCTGCGCGCACACGCAGAGCCCGGTGCCCTCGGGCGCCGCCCCCGCGGCGCGGCTGGCGCACACCAGGCCGGGGCCGCAGCGCGCGCCCGCCCGCCCTCCGCAGCTCGCGCCCTCGGCGCCCAGGCAGCGCGCGCAGCAGCCGCACTCGTCGCGCGCCGCGATCCCGGGCGCCGGGCAGCTGGCGGGCGCGGGGCAGCGCTCCGGCCGGCACGGGCCGCACGCGGGGAGCCGGCCGCCGGCCGCGCGGAGCCCCAGGCCCCGGGCCAGCGGCGGCAGCAGCAGGAGCAGCAGCGGGCCGAGCAGGGGGCGGCGAGCCATGGTCGGCCTCGGGACGGCCGCGGCGCCTCTGCCTCGCGCTGCGCTCGGCGCGCGCCGCGCCGCCACCCCGCCCGCCCGCCCGCCCGCCTCGCGGCCGCTGATTGGCCGGGCCCCCTCCGCGGGGCGCCGCCGCCGGCCTCCGGGCCCGGGACCCGCGCGGCGGGGTGGGCTCGGCCGGGGCGGCGACCCGAGGCCCGCGCCCCTAGAGCCGGGGGCCTGCGGCGGGAGCTCGCCCGAGGTCGCCCGAGGTCGCCGCCGCAGCGCCAGGACTGGGCGTACGGGCTCCAGGTGCACTGACGCTCGCAACAGGACGCGCTTCTTAATTTTAGTTTGCATTTAGGAGTTTTCAAGTTTCGTGTTTTTAAAAAGCGACTATAAGGTTTAAAACGTCAGAGTTTGGGGATCCCTGGGTGGCGCAGCGGTTTGGCGCTTGCCTTTGGCCCAGGGCGCGATCCTGGAGACCCGGGATCGAATCCCACGTCGGGCTCCCGGTGCGTGGAGCCTGCTTCTCCCTCTGCCTATGTCTCTGCCTCTCTCTCTCTCTCTCTCTCTGTGACTATCATAAATAAATTAAAAAAAATTAAAACGTCAGAGTTTATACGAATGGGCGTAATGGTGAAAAGAGTTTCCCTTCCGCCCTGTGACCCAGTGTCCCAGCCCAGCCTCAAGAGGCCACTCGTTATCAGGTTCTTGCGTGTTTGCAGAAGTTTCGTATGCCCATTAAAGCACGTATGGCCGTACAGCCCCTCCATCTGATCACACACGGGCACACACACAGTGGCGTGGCCTGCATGTTACTCTGCACTTGATTTTTCCATCCATAGTAGTTCCCGTAGTGTCCAGCCTCTTATTGTCTCTGAAAGGGGGCTTGTACAAACAATGGAGCGTTGTTTGGTTTTCTCCCCTGAATGCTACTAAAACCCTGGTATATTTCACAGTCAAAAGTGACTTTGGTTGTGATGAGATCTGATGATCTATTTTGGATTAGCCTCAGACTTTTAAACTTTGCATAGTGTTTAATTGCATGGAAACTGCAATTATTTAGCCAGTTTTGAGTCCTTTCGTTACTACAAATAATGCTGTGATGAATGTCCTGGCGCGCAGGTGTCAGTATATCTGTGGTTAGTGGGGAGTGCATGTTGGAAAGACAGGGTAGCATGTGGTCAGTTTATTTATTCACGTGGCCCCTGCTGGCAGCCAGGCTGTGGATCCTCTCCCTGGCCCCGTCCTGGCAGGGGACCTGCACAGTAAACCCTAGGGAGTCCTGATTGCTGGAGTTGGATGTATGGTGAAGTGAAGACGTGGGGTGGAGGGAGAAGATTGTTGACTCAGCTGTGTGGATGGCTTTTCCTGCTCACCCCTTAATCCTGATTTGCCGTGTGCAGTTTTCTTTCTTTTCTGAACTCTTAGAGATGGAGAAGCCTTTTGGATTGGTGTCCATTTCCTTTAAAACTGCCTGCAAGCCCATAGCCCAGTGAACTCTGGTTCCCAGAGTGCCAGTTAACACAGAGCGTGACATCTGTGAGCCCCATAAGATTATGGGTAAAAGAAAAGATGAGTTCTCCTGGCAGGGAAGAGGGTTGAGGTACCTCTGTTGTCTGCCAGGTAGTGAGCTCCCATGGTGTGAATTTCTACCTCCTCTGCTCACAGTTGGCACACATAGGAGACTAGCTCATACTGCGGTTAGGATGGATACATACACACTCAGCAGCTGCTGAAGTGGGTGTGACTGTCCCAGTCTGAGGACCTAAGGTGAGGAGAAGTTTCTCCATAGTCTTTTTTTTAAAGCTTTTATTTATTTATTCATTCATGAGAGACACACACAGAGAGAGAGAGGCAGAGACATAGGCAGAGAGAGAAGCAGGCTCCATGCAGGGAACCCGACGAGGGACTCGATCCCGGGACTCCAGAATTGCGCCTTGGGCGGAAGGCAGGCACTAAACGGCTGAGCCACCCAGGGATCATAAATGGGCCATAGTCTTGAATCTCAAGCTTAACAGGCCAATCATAGAAGGCTGAGGGAAAACAAAATCTCTGTCTCCAGTTTTCTGGTGGGATGTTTCAGAGCAGAGAGAGGGGTGGGTTTTCATGCATGAAGGGTGGGAGTTGTGGAGGGACAGATTTCAATTCAATACTGTGATTTCAATACTGTGTCAGAGGGAACATAGCAAGATGTGGAGCTCTGCAAAGGTGGACACTTAGATGCTAAGCAGCCAAGATATGATAGAGAGTTTGCCCTCCTGTTGTAGATAACTATAAAACCCAGACATAGTGTAGGTGCTGGACCTGGAATGGGGATATCTGGGTGGACTCAGATGAAGTTAAGAATCTTGAGCCTCTGAGTTATTCAGAGCCTTCCCTGCCTCCTCCCTCCCCAGTGGAAGCAGTTTGCAGATTATGTCTGAGAAGATTCACTTTCCCTTGTTTAAGGCTGTTACCTTGCAAGGCATACCTTTTCTTTTTTCCTTTTTTAAATTATATATATATATATATATATATATATATATATATTTAAATATTTTATTTGTTCATTCATGAGAGAGAGAGAGAGAGAGAGAGAGAGGCAGAGACACAGGCAGAGGGAGAAGCAGGCTCCATGCAGGGAGCCCGACATGGGGCTCTATCCAGGGTCTCCGGGATCACGCCCTGGGCTGAAGGCGGAGCTAAACCCCTGAGCCACCCGGGCTTCCCAGGCATACCTTTTCTCTTCGAGACCTACTCCATTTGCCTGCTGTGGCCCCTGACTCACAAGCATTAGAGTTCCATATGCTTGAGCAGGGCAAGTACAAAGTCTAATCTGAGATATACAAGAATGCCAAGATTCTGCTAAATTACATTGCAGCAACTTGAGGAGTATGTGCAAGAATAGATTCTAAGGGTGAGGGACCAAAGAAAACAGAATATAACTTTTTATAGCGTTGATACAGGTGCAGTGGATTCAATGTGTCAGTTTGTGTAGCTGGTAGTGACTCTATAGTTTACTTAGCTTGTTTAAGTGAAACTGAGGCTTAATGATGATCTGCACTGAATTAAATTGAGATGCCAATACTTCCTTAGGGTGTTGCAAAGGAGAAAATTAAAAGGCTTAGGGGAGATGTTGAAATAGATTTATTATGGACCACCGCACAACCACCTACTACATTCCCCAAGGGGATCCAGAGGACCACTCATTCCCTGTGACACTGAGAAATTCATTAGCAAGGGGAGCACTGTTATCTTTGAAAAACTCTTTGGGTGCTCTCCTCTGTTGGCCGCATTTGATGATGAGAGATGCCACCACTGAAAGGGGCTCCCTGAGTCCTCTGGGGATGGTGAGACTGCAGGAGAGCAGAGGCCAAGTGGTAGCACTTAACTGCCAAAGGCATGGCAGGGTGCAGTTACCATGATGGACAGCAGGATGAAGTGGACATCCTGGTTTTGACTCACAGGGATCTTTGGCATTGTCTGGTTGTCACAGTGTCCCTAGGAATGAAATAGTGAGCATCCTACTAAAATGTTACTTGCTGTGTACAATGGGAAAAAGCTCCAGATCTGGTGTCCAGAAGCGGATTTGAATCACTAGGTTCTCTTTTCCAATTTTCAGGCCTAATTAGAAGGGGAGGCCAGATCCCTTACACAAGGATGCTATACAAATTCTATTAAGTCCTCCTTCAAGGCCTTCCCAGAAGGACCTCTGACCATTTACTGGAGTGGCTCACTGTAGCCCACAATCAAAGGGGGCCTTGCAGGACTCAGGGTCCATGTTCAAATCATAGTGAACCATGGGGCGCCTAGGTGGCTCAGTTGGTTTAGCGTCCAACTCTTGACTTCGGCTCAGGCCCTAATCTCAGGGTCATGAGATTGAGCCCTGTGTCAGGCTACCCACTCAGCAGGGAGTCTGCTTGGGGTTCTCTCTCTCCCTCTGCCCCTCCTCCCTGCTCCCTCTCTCTCTCCCTAAAATATATGAATCTTTATTAAAAAATCCACAGTGAATAGACACATTTGGCAACTGGCCGAATCCCAACATCAGTTCTGTGACATATGGAGTGTGGACTATTAGAAGAGGCAGGGACTAGTGGAAGCCCCTGGAACTTTTTTTTTTTTTTTTTAACCAGGAGAGTTAGCAGCTGCCACCAATTTCCTCATAAATAATTGAAAGAGAAGTCACCTTGCCATGGGGAGGAATTATTTTCTTAGAGGACAGCACAGCCTAGTCTCACTAGAGGAAAGCATTTACCTCCTTTTAACATGCCCTTGGCTCTACTCTTTTCAAAGTAATAGTATGTCCTTATTGTGCTAAGGAGTATTTGGTCTCTTCCTGAGCCAGTGTCAACATAAAAATGTACAGTGGATCCTCCAGCAACACGGATTTAAAGTAGGCAGGTTTCTTTTATATACTATAGTACTGTAAATGTGTTTTCCTTGTGATGTTTCTTGATATTTTCTTTTCTCAAGTTCACCCTATTGTAAGAATTCAGCATTCAATACATAGGACATACAAAACGTGTTAGTCGCCTGCGTTATTGGTAAGACCTCTGATCGACAGTGAGCTAATAGTAGTTCAGTTTCAGGTAATCAGAAGCTATATGCAGATTTTAAAAAAGATTTTATTTATTTTATGAGAGACACACAGAGAGAGGCAGAGACACAGGAAGAGGAAGGAGAAGCAGGCTCCGTGCAGGGAGCCCAATACAGGACTCGATCCCAGGACTCTGGGACCACGGCCTGAGCCGAAGGCCGACCCAACCACTGAGCCACCAGGCGTCGCTATATGCAGATTTTCAGCTATGCAAATGGTCAGTGCCCCTACCTACCCGCTCCATGTTGTTCAAGGGTCACCTGTAGTTGTTTTTTCTTATTCTCAAGTGTCTCCCTGTTTTTGTTTTTTGTTTTTTTTTTTTTTTAAGTGTCTCCCTGTTGGAGGAGAGATGGTTCTCTGTTTGTCTTGCTCCATCACGTCCCTAATTTGTAGATTCATTGACTCATTCTTCATGCGGCAAGCTCTCAGAGGGCCTGCTACTACTTGCCAGGCAGGTGCAGGGCAGCAGGGTAAGCCAGGCGCTGTGTGCTCAAGAGGGTGGCCTCTGGAAGGCAAATTGGAAGCAATTTCAGTGCAATAAACAGGACTACAGAAAAGCGCTGGGGGCAAAGAGTCCACCTTCTGGAGAAGGCACTCTCTAAACTGAGCCTCGAGGGGCCAGTAGATGCTGTCTAGGAGGGCAGAGAAAGGGAACGGAGTGTCTGAAGGCATGAAGACCAGAGAGAGCATGGCACAGTCAGGAGCAAAGAGGAGGCTCAGCCCAGCTGCGGGGCTGTGGGAAGTGCTGAGGCTGGTGAGGTCAGCGTGCTGGTCCTGCCGGCTGAGGAGCTTGGAAACATGGGATCTAGGCCTCAGCCCTGTAGCTCAGGTCTGTGTTGCTGTCTGACAGACCGACACCTTAAAGATGGGGAGGAAAGGGATAGTACATACCCACCGAGGAGTCAGAGGATAAGTCTTTCAGGAAAATCCCTGGTTTTCTGTGTTTTCCCATCAGCATCTTTCCCAGGGCTTCCACCAAACGGGAGGCTTGGGTTATGGCCACCTGTGCACAGTGCCACCTTGTGGACAAGGTCGGGTTTACAGACCTAGAAATGACCTTGTACCTCCTTCATTTAGTTCAATCTATGCTCCCTAATCATTCATTTTATTTTATTTATTCATGAGAGACACACACACACAGAGGCAGAGACACAGGCAGAGGGAGAAGCAGGCTCCATACAGGACTGTATCCCAGGACCCCAGGATCACGCCCTGAGCCGAAGGTAGGCGCTCAACCACTGAGCCACCCAGGTGTCCCGTTCCCTAATCATTCAGATGAACCAAGGTGCTGGCATAAAGCACTCTTGGTTAGGAGAAGAGAACAGAAATGGATACAGATAATCACAGCGTGCTCCAGACGTATGAGTCCATCTGAAGCAGTGGGGTTCTTGAGGGAGCTCAGGCAAGGCTTCATCAGAGCTGGGTCAGGTGGGGAGAAGGGGTCTTTAGAGACCACCTCTGACATCTTCACTTTACAAAGGGGGTGACTGGAGCCAGAATGGGAAGAAACTTGCTCAAAGTTCCAGAGCCCTGCAGGGCAGAGCTGAGGGGAAGACCCGGGTCTCTGGGTGTCCCAGCGCAGAACTCCTTTTCCCATATGTGGTTGGCTTTGAGTTTAAGTGGGTCCCCCTCCTGATGCTCTAGAAATGGCCTTTGCAGGGTCTGATCTGCTGCTCTGGTCTGTCCCTGTGTAACCCCAGCCCAGCCTCCTGGTGTAGTCATCTCATTCTCTGCATCCCATCTGTGAGCAATTACAGAGTACCAGAACCCTCCCCAGGGAGCACACTGTGCCTCAGCCAGGCTCTTGGCTAATGGGAAGAGGGCCCAAGATGTGTCTCTAGAGTACCTATCCTCAGGGACTGGCATTCTTCTTGGCACACAGGTACTTTGTAAATATTTGTGACAAGAATGAATGGGTGATTGCAGGGGAAATGGATGGTACCTGAGAGGTCAGTCCTGATCTCCTGCGGACTTGTCCAAAGTTGAGTCTAGTCTGGGAAGATAAACTGGGGCCAGGTCACAAAGGTTGCTGAATGCCCAGTTAAGTTTGTCTTCATTCTCCTAGCAGGCGGAGCCAGGCTGGTCTGCAATGGAGAAGGAGCAGGATTGGAACATAGATTAGTTTCCTTCTTTTTCTAAGTGAGAAAATTGTCCCTAGTCAAGGGATATCCCTGCTCTAGAAAGCTGTCATAGCTACTTTTTTTTTTTAAAGATTTTATTTACTTATTCGAGAGACAGAGAGAGAGAGAGAGAGAGGGACGGAGGGAGGGAGAGACACAGGCAGAGGGAGAAGCAGGCTCCCTGCAGGGAGCTCAATGAGGGACTCAATCCTAGGACCCTGGGATCACAACCTGAGCCAAAGGCAGATGCTCAACCACTGAGCCACCCAGGTGCCCCACATCATAGCTACTTAATGGAGAAATTGCACTAGATCATCTGGATAGCTGGGTTCTTTTGTTTCTAAATTTAATAATTAAGCCAGCCACGTGTCTGGAATAAGTAGAGGCTGTCCTATGATAAGCTCCCCACGCTCAGGAAACGGGCACAGCCTTTGAGATGCAGTGCTGAGTTCCCTTCTGTCCTGTCACCAAACTCTGAACCCTGCTAAATACACAGCTGCAAGACAGTAAGCCAGCCTAACCTGGGTTCTGGTGTAGCTGCTCATCTCTGTCCTCACTCTCTGCCAACTGCAGCACCATCGCATCGCTGCTGGAAAGAGGTCTCTGGTGGAGTGCTATAGGGCTCTATAATCAGTGTTTTTATCAATAACCTGGATGAACTCAGCATAAGTATTCAGGTGCCCCAAAACTTCAAGAAGGAATTAATGTGCTTTGGATAGAAGAAGCAATATTCTGAAAGGTTTGCATAAGTTAGACTGGTAGAGAAAAATCAAATGTTGAAACGTTCTACAGATGCCCATCAGGTCCTTTGTTTCGATTGAACACTAAAATGAGAAGGCTTGAGAGAAAGAAAATGGAATCTACCAGAGAGGGCTGCCTCCCTGTTCAGAGGGGCCACGTCTGGAACATCATAGCTGCTTAGAAATGGGTGCTTATTATTGCAGATGAAATTTTGCTGAACTTGAGCATTTTAGCTCAAGCATGTTAGCGTTTCTCCCACTTTGAAGTGGCTGTTCCCATCCTTCCCAGGGCGGTCAGTGGCAATTCAATAATGACTTTTCCTGAATGGTGTGAAGAGAAGAATTGTAGAATTGAGGGAAACCACCATTATAATCCAAGAATTTAAAATAGCCGTTTGAAGCCTGGGCCATGGAGCCAGGAAGCACCTGGCTCCTGGAAGAGATGGCATCTCCATGTGTCTGGAGGGAAAAGAGCTTTGCAGTTCTTTTCTCTGAACCATGTGGCATGGACACGGCACCTTGAGTAGATCTCTGTTCCTTGCTCCCTGAAGATCCAGAGGAGCATGGAAGGTTGTGCTTAGGGATGGACTACAACTCACAGAGAACATAATGTGGCAGGAAACTAGTGGAGATGAGGCCAGAGAAGGAGGTGGAAGCGACTCCCTGGAAGGTTTGGAAAGGCCCCGAGGAGGGCAGGAGTGTAGGCCCTGGGAGGGCGCCGGGCAAGGGCAGGAGCACCTCAGCTGAGCCGGGGGAGATGTGCCCTGTCCTGAGCGAGGGGGAGGCGGGGCAGCGAGGGGCAGGGACCTCCGAGGTGGTCTGGCACCCGCTGAGACTGGAGCCGAAAGGCCGGGGTGTCCGTGAGGATGCGGACCAGCAGCTGTAGCAAGCCGCCTCCACCGCGTGTAATGACTCGAACGTGATGGACATTTACTCCTTAATCCTGGAGAACCTCAAACAGGTATTTCCCGTCCCCCAGTGTTGATGCAGGACCCCGGCTCATTCCGGGTTGTGCCTGCACCGTTGTGATGTGGGCCCCCTCCGGGCTTGGGGAAGGGGTGCGTGAGAGGGGCCGGAGTGAGAGCGGGGAGGAGGGCGGGTGGTGCCTGGCCTGGCCTGGAGCTGGGCGCAGGGGGCACTGACAGACGGGGAAGCCTGGCCTCCCCTTCCCAATCAGACCATTTGGAAACAGCGAGGCCATTTAGAATCCGTGGCCGCTGTGGTACCTGGGAAATCGTAACTGTTCTCAGCTACAGGAGAGGCATGCTCAGCCCTGATCGGGCCGCCACCCCTCCCTATGTCCTGTATCTATGTGTCACTTGGTTCTCGGTCCCACTGACCAACACTCAGCTCTTGCTCTGTCTCAGGTCAGACTCCCGAGACAAGTGACCCGCTGGGCAGAGTGTCCATCACAGATAATAGGTTGATGCAGTTTATGACTGGCTGTCTGGGGTCGGGCATTTGGTCCAATCAGCAGGGCCCTGGGGTCTCTAGCTGTGACATCCGCATGGCTGCTCATGCCCTTGGCACAGCTCTGCGGGCACAGCAGGGTTTCTGAGGCTTGGCCAGTACTTTTAGTCCACTTCTCTTCCTTAAACCTTAGCTTTCTTACCTTTAGAATAAAGGACCTGGGCCTCATGATGGTTACAAGTCCTCCACATTCTGTGCCGCATCAGCGAGGGCAACATTTGTCGTGACAAAAGCCTGTGCTTCCCTGGCTTGTTACAGTAGAACTTTATTTCTTGCCCACGGAGCAGTGTGTGAGAGGTCTGCTGGTGCAGAGAACAGATTCCTTTACGTAGTGATTCAGGGACCCAGGCTTGGTCCATCCCATTTCTTTAGGTCCTTTGTGTTCTAAGCCAGCAGATGGGGAAGGGGAAGGTGGAGAAGACACACTTGCTTCTTAACTGGGGAAGGGGAAGGTGGAAAAGACACACTTGCTTCTTAACTGTCTTGGCCCAGAAGTAACCCCAGTCACCTCTGCTCACATTCCTTTGGTGAGTCTTAGCTCCATGTCTGTTCCTAGAAGCCAGGGCCTGGGGAGTCTGGGGAATATGGCCCTGGCTGGGCAGGTCCTTCTGAGCAACAGTCTCACTTTATGGAAAAGGATCAGGAATCCTGGCGGCCAGCAAGCCAGTTCTGCTGCATGGGTGGGGTTCAGTTTTGAACTTGTCCCTAGCCTCTTCTCCTGGCAATGGGTGGCCTTGTTTCCAAGGAGAATCTTGAAGCCAGTGGTCCTCGTTTCCTGGTTTATTGCCTCGAGACAGAGTCCTACTTTATTGCCTATAATGATTTTTATAGCTAGCCAAAGAGGCCTTAGCTGCTGGGCAAAGTTCTGATAGTTCAGCACCCCCCACCCCACTCCGGTGCCCACCCCAGGGGGCTAAAAGAGATAGCAAGTGTCCAGGAGAGAGCAAATGGGAGGGACCTTCCTGCTTTACCTGAGAAAGTAGGAGAAGGGGAGGAAGAGCAGAAAAATAGCCGTTTGTCTTCCAAAACAAGGAAGAAAGCCACCTGCCTGCTTTCATTTCTTTAGTAAATATTTGACTGGATGTTTGCCTTTTCTCTAGGGTTTTTGGGTGCTGTGAAGGCAACTGGGCACAACACCAGAATATCAGAAGCAGTTGATAACCAAGAGGCCAGAGAAGCTCACAGCACAATCCAGAGAAGCAGATTGCTCACTGGGGTTGCAGGCAACTGCTTTCCCACCGAGATGCTTTCTACAAACTCAAGGTGAGTTATCAGAGTCGGATTCAAGACAAGTCATGCTGGACAACCACTTGTTCTTGTCAGCTGTCTTCTTTGATGTTGGTGGTTCACGGAAACTGGGAGAAAGCATAGATTTAGCTGATTTGTCGGTAGGCTGGCATGTAGACAGGAACCATGGATGGGTTCCTGGGTCAGTGAACAGATTTCTATTTACCTTCAGTTTGGAGCCGGAGTCAAATGGGAAGAGCCCAGGGATGGTGTTGGAGGACCTGAGTTGGAATCCTGGCTCTGTAGTTTCCGGGAAATCCAAATGCCTCAGTTTCCTCATTTATAAATCAGGTGTAATAACTCTGGTCCAGCTGAACCCCAACTTTGTAAAGATCGTATGAGAAAAAAAAAGATCATATGAGAAGAGGATGTGAAAGGACTTTGAGATCTATAAAGTCCTGTCCAAATGCCAGCGATTAAGAACTCTCATTCAAACATTGGAACTTAAATCTTTCATCTTAAATAATCTAAGACCTGAAAAGAGTAGCCCAAAATATGACAGAAAGTAGAACTGTCACTTTCTGGTGTCATAGTGTGTCTGGTTAGGTTGTTGAGGGATGCCGTGGAGGGTGAGTGACAGAAGAGGAGTCATGGACAGACAGACATGACGGGAGTCCCTTGGGGAAGCAGGCTGTCTGCTACTAAACTTTTCATAAGCCAGAGTGCTGTAAAGCCGTTATGTAGAAAAATTTTTGAGTGTTCCCAGACCCCAGAACTAACCTCTCTTAGGCTTTTCTGTTATCTTAGGACACATCTTGCTAACAGATGCACAAAATAAATCAAGATAAAGCACCAGTGCTCACAGACACAGTTCCAAGCTCTGGCAGCTTGATGGAGATGCTGAATGTGTTTCCTGGGGAAGGAGCAGGCGGGGGGCTGGGGGCACATCTCGATAACTAGGGTCCCTGCTGCTTCTATAACAACTTGCTATAAAACAAATGCTGAACACTGTTTTTTTTGCTTTTGGCCTTTTTTCATAAAGGGGAAAACCCCCTTTGGGTTTCTTTTGGTTAGTGAAAACAAGTACTAATGTAGGGCTTTTATAAAAGCAAGGTGGCCTAATGTGAGTTTTTGAAAAGAAGGGCATACCTGTACCTGGAGCCCTAGGTATGGGGAAAGAGGGAAGAAGCCTGAGGGCAGTGGGTGGAGAAGGATGTGGGACAGGGAACAGACCAGAGGGTGTCCTGAAGGACAAGTGGACAGAGAGGGGAGTCAGCTGAGTGCTGGGGGACATGAACTAGGAAGAGTGAGGGCGCTGGCTGGTCTCTCTCTCCGCTCTCTCCAGCTGGGCTCCTTGGGCTCAGAGGGAAGCATTAAGAGGAAGCAGTAAGAGGAAGCAACGGGGTGTGGTTGGATGTGGACTTCGGGAGGTCCCTCTGGTCACAGGGTAGAGGACAGATGAGGGGGGCAGCGCAGGAGGTGTAGGACATGGTGGGAATTCTATCCTGAAGTCCAGGTGAGGATGAGGGCAGCCTAGACTGTGGTGGTGACTGGGGGGATGGAGGCGTGTCTGGATTCAGCAAGCATTGGAGAGTCCTCCTGACTGGGCTTGATCTAGGGGTGGATTAGAGAGCATGCCTCTGGGCCTCTGGCTTGGCCTAATGGACGGGCGGTGATGCTACTCCTGACCTGAGGATCTCTGAGGAGGAGCAGGTTGGCAGGAGTGTTCAGTTGGGACAGGTTGGACTGGAGTGCTTGGGACATCCAAACCGAGATAACGAGAAGGCAGGCAATTGGCTATATGGTCTGGACTCAGAATAGAAGTCTGAGCTGCCCTCAGAGAATGTGATGTACCTTGTGGGGCTGTTGTGCCCTCTGGGCCCCTGACATTCTTTTGAGGTCAGCCTCATGCCCTCATTGCCTCCATGTGCCCCTCCCAGGACCTCCTCTTTATCATGGTCATCTCCCTGGACCCAGGCTGGTTGTCTGGCTCTGCTCACAGAGAATAAAGACCTGGCACATGGTGGGGAAAATAAGAGGCCCTGGGAGAAAATGGAATAAAGGCATGAAAGGCCCATTAATACCTCAACTCTGATCCTCAGAGCTTAAAGTCAGTACCTGTGTTGGAGTCCCCCCTCCGCTCCTGTGGACAAGTGACAGCCTCTCTCTGAAGCTCCTTCTCTAAGGGTCCAGCCAGACCTTGGGAGTGAGAATGCTTTGGGAACTGAAGAGCCCTGTTCCTTCCCGAGGTACCCCCTAGCCGACATAGGGGAAGACCCCATGGTTCCTATGTTCCAGTGAAGAGCTCTGTTCCCAACCTGGTCGAGCTGATCTGGTCTCCCTGAGACACTGGTGGAGCCGGGGCACCCAGTCAGGAGTTTGGTACAGTGGCTTCTGTGTCTCTCGATGCTGCTGCTGGTGCCACCCAAGGAGAGCGCCCCGGGGTCCCCTGGGGGCCAGGCTGCTGCTTGGAATCCACCTGAGGCATTAAGGGAGGCAGCTATAGGGAAGGGGACATGGGCCTCAGTTAACAATGCACCATCCATATCCATTCTTTAATGATCTAGGGACGTGCTGGCACTCTACCCATTCTGCAGACAGGCAGCCCAGGCTGCAGGGAGGAGAAATGAATCACCCCAGGTTGCAAGGTGCTTGACTCCAAATCTCAGACTCTTCCCTCCAGACAGATCTGAGGTCCCACAAGAACATAAAAAATAAGCCTATACATGCCCTCTTAAGGAAGTTACTGACCCAGAACCGACCATTTCCAGCTGTATAGCAAGGACAAAATGAATGACAGTAGTCAAGGCAAAAGAGAAGGAAATGGATTTGGACACAGAGAAGACAGAAGCCCTGGGAAAAAAGTGGAACAAAAACAGAGTGTGTGTATATCTTTCATTACATAGCTTTCCCCTGGTTCTCAGAGTCACAGAAAGTGACAGAGACAAACCAGCAGGCAGACAGTAAGAGAGAAACAGACAGAAGACACATATGACTTTTCTGGAAAGGCTGTCAGAGGTAGGCCTGAAGTGGGGTAGTGGGGCAGGGAAGAAAACAAGAGATCGTCTGCCAGGCGGCCACCCGTGTGGGTTTTATGATAGTCATGGACTTAATTTTATTTTAGTTAAACAATTTAAAGTTTTAAAATTGGAAGTATACATATTTATAACAGAGGAGGGAATAGTGTATTTTTTTTGTAAATTTATTTTTTATTGGTGTTCAATTTGCCAACATATAGAATAATACCCAGTGCTCATCCCATCAAGTGCCCCCCCAATGCCCGTCACCCAGTTGCCCCCCCCACCTCCCCTTCCACCACCCCTAGTTCGTTTCCCAGAGTTAGGAGTCTCTCACGTTCTGTCTCCCTTTCTGATATGGGAATAGTGTATTGAACCCATGTCTTCCCATCACCAATCCCACAGCTAGACTGGTTTTCTGGGGACCCCCTCCACTCCCCACTCCTCCAGGCAGCCTATCATTTCATCGTGGATCTCAGGCTTGAAAGGAAGTTTGCTTCCCCCCATGGAACTCTTAAATCTGTGCACAAATGACCTGGCACACAAAGTCAGTCCTTCACAGGCCCCCATGCAACTCTGGTCTTTGAGAGAGTTCAGATTGCCCTGACCATGGAACTGGAATACGACATCGAAGAATCCTAGAATGTAACAGAAGGTTCTTATGTGATGGTCCACATTGCCAGGGTTCGAGTCCTGCTGGCTCCTCCACTTACTAGCTGGGTAGGCTTGGATGAACTTCCTGACCTTTCAGTGCCTCTGCATTTCCCCATCTGTAAAGTGGGGTGATCGTAGTGCCTCTGTCACAGGGCTGTCATGAGGATGAAGTTAGCTAATATTGTACAGCCCTTAAAGCGTGGCTTGGTACACAGTGGGCCCTGAGAAAATGGTAGCCATCCCTCCAACCACTTAGGGAACTTTTGTGAGCACCTACTGCTGCACCCAGGAGCCAGGCACCTAGAGATAAATGCGAAGGGTCTCAGCCCCCAGGGAGCTCCCCATCCAGGGGGATGCAGACCCAGAAAAAGACACTTGCAAGCAGTGGGCTGGCTTCTGTGTTGGTGGGCTGTGCCCCAAGCAGTTCAGCCTTCTTAGTTCACAAGTGACCAAACAGAAGTGTGGTCTCTAGGCTAAAGGAGCTGTGGCACCTGCGGCACAGCTAGGTGACCTTGAAGCAGTCATGCCTGGCCAGGCCTCTTTATGTGAGGGTCTCAGAAGCTGGTGGCTCTAAGGGGCAGTGGGGCTTTTCTGGGTAAAGGTGCTGTGCTTTGGCCACCCTGCCAGTAGCATGTAAGTGAGAGGCAGTCACAGGACCAAGCGTAGCAGACACTGTGGCTACTGGTTAACCAGGTGAAGGACTTCAGTCCATTGCATGGTCAGGGGGCCAACGGCAGGGGAGTCCCCGATACCCTCATGCCTAGCAAGAGGCCGGGGATGACAGACTGTGCCGTGCAGTGGATTGAGAAGGGCTGACCATAGACACTCCAAGGACAGAGGAGCAGACAGGGTTGGCCAGCAAGAGTACCTTTTCAGCCCAACTGAAGGCAAATGTCTTTTCTTTGGTCAGAGCTGTGCCAAAGCAGGAAAGGGATGAAAAAGAACATCAGTTCTCACTGAACTTGAGATGGGCCCTTGACTCTCACTGTATCTAATTGTCAGGCAGCCCAGAGGGGAAGCATCAGATCCACTTTCAGGATGAGGAGAGTATGGCCCAGGAAGGCATGGTTGGCCACCGTCACACAGCTGCTGAGACATGGAACTGGGCTCCCTCTCAGGTTTGTCCGGCTCCAATGACTCAGTGAAATGGAAGGGTTGGCTTTGTGGGGAAGTGCCCAAATGAGATACCATGGCTGCCTGGGTGTCGATATGGGTTCTGGGGAGGGTCCTAGAAGGCATTCAGGCATCCAAAGGGGTTGGATTCCAGAAACTTCTGGTGACTGGCCGGAGGTCTGTGACTCCATGATGGGTGGATGAGAGCGTTTTCCCTCAGGTGGACAGGGCATAGCTGTGCCACACACAAGCCCACCACTTCAGTGCTGTGTTTCTCATTCTCCCTCCCTCCACCTTCCTTCCTTTCATCTTTTTTCATTCATTCATTTAGCACGTACTGGGTTCGTTATGTATCTGTCCCAAGTTAAAAGCTGGAGGTAGAGCTGGGATGGGAGATGGTTGGGGTTTGAAGTTGAGTGACACTTTTCTTGCTTTGGAAAAGCCCAGGCTGAGAGTGAGAGCTCAGGCCTGAAGAAGTCACCAGCAACAGGAAGTACAGGTGATGAGTACCAGAGAGCCACGTGGCTAAGGAGCTGTGGAGAGACCTTCCCAGGGGAGGGCAGAGGGATGGACTCTGGCACCAGGGAGGTGAGCCAGGGCCAGGAGGCTGGTGCAATGCCCCCAAGGGCAGGCTGATAAGGGCCTCATCTAAAGTTTCCAGATGATCTCACCTTCTGTTACACATCAGAGCAAGGCCTGGTATTTGGGAACCCTCAGTGTACGGACAAATGCTTGCAGCAGGTGCCGTGAGTCAGAGGCCTTCAGGGATGGGGGCCCCTGCCCTGGCAATGACCTCATAGTCAGGTTTTTAACAAACTGCTGATTGAGAACCGTTAGTGGGCTGTACAATTAATTTAGTGGTTATGACCGGCATTTTACAAAATGGAATGGACCAGAGCAAAATGAATAGAATTGAATCAAATTAAAAATACTAGAGGATACTGTGCATATGAAGAGTACCGTGTTGGGAAAATTTGTTTTACGTGTGCTCGCACACATACACAAGTGAACTGGGTCACGGCTATTGTGTACTTGACCACAACTATGACTTGTAGTCAAAAAAACTTAAAAATACTAAACTGGTCCAATCCTCTCATTTTGCAGAGCATGGGAGAAGAGAGTAGATCAGGGCACTGGCTCCCTCCTGTGTTTTTTTCCTCTAAACTTATCTTTCTCCCAAAGCATATTTTATATCGACATCAGTTTCCAAACTCCAACATCCTCATTTTTTTCGTCCATGCCCAGGGCCAGGGCCACATCTGCCCAGTGGTGTGCCAGGGAATGTGTAAAAACTGGCTCTCTGGAAAAAAATATATATGTTTAACATACATGGTACTAATAGAACAGATGTATCACACAACTTACAAATAATTAAATATATATAACACTCTTGAGTACAGATTCCATACAACCAATTAATTCTCGTGGAATGCTTTCATTGATTTTTTGCTGAACTCTTATCTGTAGCTAACCTGCAACTGATGAATGAGCATAGTTTCGACATGAATGTTATTTGATCATTTTATTTACATTAATGAGTAAGACCCATATGAATCAACGAAGACAAGGGATGGGTCAGAAATTCACTTGTTTATCAACTGATGGAAACTATTTCTTAGATGAATAGGATAAGAGTTTTTAAATTCTGGAAGAGTATTTCCTCAAAAAAAATTTTTTTTTTTTGCTATTTACAGTGCCATGGCTACAAACATGTTTAAATGTAATTTGCATTATTAACATTTTCTCTGCCACTTTATAGTCAATCTACAAAACAATAAAGCAAGCCCTGATTTGTAGTGTTTCCCTGTTTCCACCATGTAAATATTCCCAACATGATGCAAATATTCCCAGCTTGATGTCCCTGAAAGTGAATATGGGAAGAGATGCTCAGTGGCACCCTATAACATAGTTTCCATTATATGGATACAATAGATGTAAATAACCTCAAAAGCATAGATGATAGTAAAAATAATTACAAAGTGATGGGTTTTGAGTGTTTCCTACCTTTCTTTTTAATATGGCTTATTTAATTATAAATTTATATAATTTAATTTTTAACAGTGCTGGTCTTGAGCAACTGGCTGGCAAGATTCCTGATGATGGGACAGTCCCAAGCTGGTACAAGCCAGCCTGAGCACACCATTACATCTGCCCTGAACCCTCAGGGAGGCTGTGCATGAGGGGGTTGATGGGATTCACAGAGGTGGGTCCGGGCTGGCACATCACACACCCCAACACACAGACTACTGCCCTTCTGGAGGTATCATATGGGCAGGCAGGCACCTGCACCCATGTAGACACACACGTACACACACACACGGACAGACAGAGACCTCTTCCTCCTTCCCTAATCCTTCTCCACACTGAGCAGTCCTGCTGCTGCTGCCCATGAGGAGGCCAGTGCCTGAACTCATTGGGCTATGCTTGAAATAGTCCTGGGCATCCTGACTTCCTCTGCTCCCTGGCCCTCTTTTTTTTTGTTTTTTTTTGTTTTTTTTTTTGGTCTAAAGTATTTACTTACTTAAAACTTGATAGTTGGGAGGTGAAGCAGAAGGCACTCTTCTGCTTAAGCACCTAAGAGGGAGCTGACCTCACCCAAATCAATAGACTCAACATTTCCCGGTGCCAATTCCTTTTTTTTTTCCTCCTTCATATTTATTTATTTATTTTTAAACTTGAATTCAGTTAATTAACATATAATGTATTCTTGGTTTCAGAGGTAGAGGTCAGTGATTCATCAGGTGTATATAGCACCCAGTGCTCATTACATCACATGCCCTCCTTAATGTCCATCACCCAGTTACCCCCTCTCCCCACTCCTCCCCCCTCCAGCAACCCTCAGTTTGTTTCCTATGATGAGTCTCTTATGGTTCATCTCCCTCTCTGATTTCTTCTTGTTTTCTTTTTCCCTCCCTTTCCCTGTGATCCTGATCCTCTGTTTTGTTTCTTAAATGTAGCAGGCATTCCTCGGCCTCTCTGTGCCAGGTGCCAGGCTGCCCCTGGGAGTGGGAGATGGGTCGGCCCCAGGCTGGGAGGCCAGGCTACTATAGCAGCTCCAGGAAGCCCTGTGAGTTGGCAGCTGGGACTGGGAGGGTGGTGATGGGCAGCCTCACCTTCTTCTGGGTGGGCTATGAAGCCTCTCCTGGCTTCACTTCTTAATTTTAGGAGATAACACGAGATTCCTGCAAAGATTAGGTAATCTAAAATTGCAGATGCCTCGGCCATAGCCGACACACAGTTAAGTGACACCCATCTGTCAAGGAGGGCTGTTGTCCTATGTTTAACTTATTTCTATAGAGTGATAATGTTAGGGCCAAAAGGAGCAATATATAGCACACCTCAGATTGGCCCTCACAGCATTTTATTAAGAATTTTTAAAAATTAGGGACTCCTGGATGGCTCACCGGTTGAGCATCTGCCTTTGGCTCAGGTCCTGATCCCGGGGTCCAGGGATCAAGTCCCGCATCGGGCTCCCTGCAAGGATCCTGTTTCTCCCTCTGTCTGTGTCTCTGCCTCTCTCTTTGTGTCTCTCATGAATAAATAAATAAAACCTTTAAAAAAAGATTTTTTAAATTAAAGATTTGTAATTTATACCACCACAAACCTTGCATATTTTCTCTTTATGCTGATTTCACACACATCTTCACTTCAGAATGGTGTTTTATGGCTTAAGGACAACCATTCATTTTTTCCCCAGATTACAGAGCACATGTTTATTGCCTCTATTACGTGCTAGACAGTGTTCTTAGCACTCATCTGGATAGAAGGACACAGCTGTCAAGCAGCATATCTCCGTGTACTGCAGTTCAGAAAAAAAATCATAAGAAGACAGTAGCATGACCTGAAATCCCACTACCTATGCCCACTGTTCACAACTTGGGATCAAGAAGGAATTTTCTTTCACTTAGCAGTATATCAGAAACACATTTCCAAGGCATCATCCGTGGAAAGAGGATCTTCTACATTTGGGGGTGTTGCTTTGCTGCTGCCCTATAGGTGTTCACCCTTTAGCCACCTGCCCACCAGCCCTGGACCCACCAGGAAGCAGTATCAGTAGCAGAGACCAGGAAGGGGTCTCAGTGGTTTTCGAACTTGGGTCGCTTGTGGTAGGCTTCAAATGTTCACGGTGGTGGCTGCTGGGAGGAAATGTAGCCCCAGGGCTACATGAGCTCACCTGTTTCCAGACCAGCTCTCGGCTCAGCCCCTCCAAGCAGGACACAGGCCTGCTGGTGAATCTGTGTGGCAGTCACCCATCCAGAAGAGTCTGATGCATCTGTATATACTGACACAAGAAATTTCCTTTCTTTAGTAAATGCGTTTTCTTTCCTTGATTAAATGAAGAGATCAAGTGTAGTCAGATCCCATTTTTGCTTAGAACTATAAAAGTTATAAAGGAGAAGGACTTTTTATTTACTACTTTATACATTTGTAAATATTTTGAGTGTTTTACAATGAGCATATATTACATTTCAAGTGTTATATACTTAGAGATTGGCAGAGTGAGGGATAGAGAGAGGGAGAATCTGAGCATATCTTGAGGTAGCTTTCTGAGTACTTCCTTAGCTTCTATTTTTCAAAAGTAGAATTCTTAGAAGTGGAATTGTGTTTTGAAGATTCCTGGTGTATATATTTTAAAATTAATCCACAGAATGGTTATACCTGTTTACACTCTTACTACCAGCAAATGGATAGTAACTTGTCTTAACCTTCAGTTAATACTGGGTAGTATTTTAAATAATTCCCAATTTAGAAGGGAGAAGAAATGGGTGGGAAATATCAGAAAGGGAGACAGAACATGAGAGACTCCTAACTCTGGGAAATGAACTAGGGGTGGTGGAACGGGAGGAGGGCGGGGGGTGGGGGTGACTGGGTGGCGGGCACTGAGGGGGGCACTTGACGGGATGAGCACTGGGTGTTATTCTGTATGTTGGCAAATTGAACACCAATAAAAAATAAATTTATTATTAAAAAAATAATTCCCAATTTAATAGATAAGATAGCATTTTATCTTCTACTTTTACTACTAGTTATAATTTTAAGAACTTATTGCATATTTGGGCCCCTCCCACCCCCCCGCTGCGGGATATGGCCCAGTGTCTTACCTCCAAATTGGCATTTCACACGTTTTTTGTCACAGTAACTACTTACCAAGATGTTTGTTTGTTTGTTTGTTTAGAGAATGAGTAGGGGTAGGGGCAGAGCGAGAGGGAGAGAATCCCCAGCAGACTCCATGCTAAGCACAGAGCCAGATGTGGGGCTGGATTCCACAGCCCTGAGATCATGACCTGAGCTGAAATCAAGGGTCTGAGCCACCCAGGCACCCTGATATTTAACAATATATTTTACTCATTTTTCTGTTGGCTGTTGCTTTTAAACGCTTCTCCTTCTTCCTAGAATCCTCTTATTTCTTGAGAATTTCTGTCACTTTTTTCCCCAGAGGGTCTTTTGAGGCCTTGTATTTCTAAGAATGTTATCTATCATCTATCTATCTATCTATCTATCTATCTATCTATCTATCTATCATCTATCTATATTTATTTAAATATATATTTACTTAAAATCCTGTGCTCAGGGTTAACAGTAAGTTTTGCTAAGTCTTTTTCCTGCTGTAGCTCTTTGAACTCCTCTGCTTCCTCCAAGATTTATGCTTCTTGTAGAGGATTTTCTGTAGTAATGATCTCCAAGAGGTTCTGTATTAACTCATGTCTCCTCAAGAATAAGTTTCTCCTTCTTGAACTTTTGCCTCCCATTTGTGGTGTAATCTTTCCTCAGATGTTTGAGGACTCTTGATTGTGTGCTCATCTTTGTGACTGAGTGGCCACTAGGGGGGTGAGGGTGGGTTACCTGCTTCGTGGAAGGTGGCTAGTCCTAAGGCTGTTGTCAGGGCAGCAGGTTGGAGGGGGAGGCACCATTGGGGGAGTGCCCCAGGGCCTGGCCATCTGGAAGCCGAAGCTCCTGGTCTATTGCAGGACAACCCGTGATCCAGAGCACTACCTGTCTCTCTCTCTGTGACCCATCTACACTACTGGTGACAACCTCCATTGCCCCTAGGTGGTCAGCAGACAGCGGGGAGGACAGTTGTGTCTCTGTGAGACCCAAGTTCATCATTGGGTGGGCTGTTGGCAACCCTGTCCTGCTTCCCCTCTGGCACTGTGGATGTAGAGCCCTTTGTGTGGGGCCCCACACTGTAGCCTTATTGGCTCATGCCTTTTCTCTTTGCTGTAATCCTAAATGCCCTCCATAATTCAGGGTCTTCTCATAGGTTCTGTCCCTAATAGATTCCCTTCTTGTCTTTGAATATCTCTGTTTTCTTTCTTTCTTTTCAAACAAACAAACAACAAACAAACAAACAAACAAACAACAAAAACATCTTGGGATGCCTGGCTGGCTCAGTCGGTTGAGCAGCCACTCTTGATTTCAGCTCAGCTTGTGATCCCGGGGTCCTGGGATCAAGCCCCATGTCAGGCTCCCTCCCTACTCAGTAGTGAGTCTGCTTCTCCCTCTCCCTCTGCCCTCCCCCTGCTTGTACTCTCTCTCTCTCTCAAAATAGATAAATCTTTAAAAAAATTAAAAATGAAAAACCACATCTTTATCATTTTAAGGGTTTTGTGCGGGATGGGGAGGCTAATATATGTGCTCTGTGTACCTTCCTAAAGGCAGAAGTGGGACCGTATAGTTCTATCACATTTCTGATGACCCAGGGTTCCCACACCTTCCCCACCACTTCTAGATCTTTCAGACTTATGGTTAGATATAACTGGGGAATATCAGGATTTTTAAAAACTAGAGGGGAATGTGCCCTGCTCATGGGTTTCCCCAAGGAGCACTCTTCCCTCTGAGGGAAAGGCCGGATCTGGCTGGGGGAGGAAGCCTGGAGATGGCCAGACAGATGGTTTAGGGATGGGGGTCAGAGTCCGCATGGATCTATGAGCACTGGTGAGCGTGCAGAGGGGGTGTGGTGGCATCTGAGCATCAAGAACAAAGTATGAAGGAGCCCAGAAAGGAGAGGGTCCCTGTCAAGTGAAGTTTGGAACTGCTGTCTTATGTTTTAGACACGAGGCCCCCCAGCATCCCAGTCCTGCAGAAGGAAGCCTGGAGAGGACACAGTCCGCAGCCTGTGGTCCGAATGACCGTGACTTTCCTGTGAAATTAGTGAAGCTCAAGCCTCACTGCTTAGGGAGGGCCCTTCCAAGGCTTGGGGGGAGAGGTGGGCACCTTTGTTAAGTGTTTCATGGTGGTATGTTTTCCTGAAAATATAAAAAGGTAAGATTACTTTTAAGATTACTTTATAGTTCTATTTGGAAAAAAAATGTCCAAATTATAGAAGCTTTGGGTCTCCCAGAGCCTGAATCTATCCCCAACTATGTCATCAAGAAAGGAAGGAGTTAGGGATGCCTGACTGGCTCAGTGCTCAGTTGATGGATCTCTTTGTCTTGGGGTCCTGAGTTTGAGCCCCATGTTAAGTGTAGAGATTACTTTAAAAATATTCTTTTAAAATTTTTATTTATTTATGATAGTCACACACACACACACACAGAGAGAGAGAGAGAGAGAGAGAGAGAGAGAGAGAGAGGCAGAGACACAGGCAGAGGGAGAAGCAGGCTCCATGCACCGGGAGCCCGATATGGGACTCGATCCCGGGTCTCCAGGATCGCGTCCTGGGCCAAAGGCAGGCGCCAAACCGCTGTGCCACCCAGGGATCCCCTAAAAATAATTTTTTTAAAAGAGAGGAGTTAGATCCAGTTAGCAGGAAAGTTGGATAGATAATCAAGGTGGAGAAAGAAATACGAATGAAAATGAATTCACCTAGGGAAGACCCATCCCAGGTAGGCAGTGTCAGCCCTGAGGAAGCAAAGTTAAGAAAGATTAGATGATCTTAGTAGGGTACAAGCTGCACTCCTAACAGTGATGCTCAAGGCTGATGGGTCAGTGATTGCAGCAGTGACTGATGATGAGAATGTGTTTTTGGCTGTTTTTCAGAATCCGGCAGCTAAATGGCACCTGTGTTGGCTCAGTGGACTTGGAGCTCTTCCTCCATTATTCTCTCATCCCATCAGTAAGTAGAGGCAGGGGAGAGTGTGGAGCAGAGGGTGGGGGGAATTGGGTCACCCCCATATACAGACTCCCAAAGTGGCCTGAATAGATCAGCAGAGACATCAGCTGAATTTTCTTGACTAGCTCTCTTGTATTATGCACCAAAAAGGCAGGTAGAAGAAGGCTTTTAAGGGCTGAAGAGTAAAGGACATTGGTTTTTAGGGGAGTCAAAAAAGACTCTTCTAAGGAAGCAGTAACAGCTGAGATCTGAAGGGAGATGTGGTGATCTTTCAAGCAGAGGGGGGAGCACGTGCAAAGGCCCTGTGGAGGAGGGGAATGGAGAGTGTGAGTGGTACCTGCATTTTTAGTGCAGTGGGAAGTAACTAGAGTGTTTCTAGCATGTGGCTGGTGTGATCAGATTTCCCTTTTAAAATGATCATTCTGGTCACATTGTGGGTCACATTTTAGCTCATCCTGGATGGTGGTGGTGAGCTCAAGACATCTGGGAGGTAAAACAGTAGCACTGGGTAGTGTGTGGGATAAAGAAGTTAGGGAGAGGAAGGGTTGAGGATGACGTGGGTTTCTAACTTGTGCAGCCAGAAGGATGGTGCTACCTGCCGTTCACTAGTTAAGGGGAACCAGAAGAGATCAGCATTTGGGTGGTTGAAGGTACAGGGCAGGGATGCAAATTATGAGTTCCATTTAAGACATACTGAATTTAAGAAACTCTCAACATGTCAAAAAGAAATGCCAACCCTGTAGTTAGATAAACAGTTATGGAGCTCATGTACAAGGTCTAGGCTGAAGAGTCTTCTGTGCTTTGGTGGCCTTGTGAGTCTTCTGTGCTTTGGTGGCCATTGAAAGCATGGACATGTGTGAGAGGATGCAATAATAGAAGGAGTGGTCTTTGGACTAAACTATGAAGAACTCCCGACTTTCATGGTTGAATAAAGAATAATCCAGCAGAGGAGGTTGAGAGGTAATGGACAGTACCCAGAAATTCATGGTTGTTGGAAGCCTAGGGAGGTGTTTCTAAGAGGAGGAAGTGGTCAACCTGGTGAAACTCGGCTGAGTGATCAAGCCAGATTTGAGCTTCAGGTTTCCATTGGATTGATGATAATTTTTGGCTTTGACCAGAGCTGTTTCCTTGGATGGGTGTGAAGCCAGGTTAGGGGCTGAAGAGCAAGTGAGAAGTGAGGATATGAAGACAGCAAGTGTAGACAATCCTCAAGAAGTTTCTGATAAAGGGGCATCAAGGATGTAAGAATATGATTGAATCCACAGGAGGAGGAAAAGAAAAAAAAAAAAAAAGCAAAGAAGGATTTGCAACCTGACAGGTATTAACCCCTTTTTACAGATGAGGAAATGGAAGTTCAGAGAAGTTAGGTCTCTCTTCCAGTCAATATGTGGGGGAGACGAGACGTGAACCTGTTCAGGGCAACACAGAGGAAAACTCAATACAAAACATTCTGAAGGGGATCCCTAGGTGGCTCAGCGGTTTAGCGCCTGCCTTTGGCCCAGGGCATGATCCTGGAGTCCCGGGATTGAGTCCCACAGCAGGCTTCCGGCATGGAGCTTGCTTTGCCTTCTGCCTGTGTCTCTGCCTCTCTCTCTCTCTCTCTCTCTCTCTCTCTCTCTGTCTGTCTATCATAAATAAATAAATAAAATCTTTAAAAAAAACATTCTGAAAACTCAGGGGTATGTGCAGCCAGCTCCTCGACTTGGGGTTGGGGGGGTCTGAGGAGTCAGACACTCTACGTCCTCTCCTGACCCTCACTTTCTCTTTCAGGGAAGGGCCTCAGGGCTGCACTGAGGATGAATGTTCCCACTGACACTCCCATCTTCTCTTCCCCTAGCTCTTCATCATTTTGGTCTTGTCCTTTCTCCAAAAACGAGATCACCGTAAGCAGAGAGATGAAACTTCCCACCTCCTGGGAAAGCGCTTTGAAATCATCATGTGAGTGGAGCTAGGGCTGATCACTACAGCTTGGGGTGCCCTGTGTTTGGGGCCAACACCTGTTATAAGGCCAGGGTTACTCCCCGCTGCCTCTCCAGGCCTTGCCTCCTCTCCCCCACTTCTTCCCCTCCCTACCTCACCCCAGCCCAGCTCTGGGAGTTCAGAATCGGTGTCCAAGCTCATGCAGTCTCAGCACCCAGGGCTGCCCAGATGTGATGAAAACATCTCAAGGAGGCTCAGCTCACTATGGGAAGGGCCTTCCCACACCCAGCACTATGGCTGCCTCAGGAAGCAGGAGGAAGAGTTCTTGGTCGGCGCCTGCAGCAGCAAGCATTCATGCTGGGATGGTGCCATGAGTCACTCACAGGGAGATCTGCTTGGACCAGGCTGCTTTCCGGGCTGGGCTGGCTCAGCCATCCTGTCTCTGCACCCGTTATCAGTTTCTCCTTAAGCTCTAATTGTTCATATCTCTGCTGCATCACCCCTTAATAATTCAAAATAATAATGATAATAAAGCAGATAACAGTTATTGCACGGGGACCGTGGTCTGGGCACTGAACCATTTGTTTTGCCTAGCATTTGCCAACCTAGCATGCTGGCGGTTCTTATCCTCATGTAGTGCATGAGCAAACTCAGGCTCAGAGAGGTTAAGTGACTTGCCCAAGTCTACACAGCTAACTAAGTGACAAGAGCTTTAACCGAGGTCTGCTTGATATTTGCTCTGATTCCCCAGTATCATATGCTAAGCAGGCTCAAGCCTGTAAACATGCGAAGGTCTCAGCCGTGGGATCTGGAGAAGGGAGAGGAAGCCAGGGTGTCAAGACCAAGGCTAATGGTGACCTAAGGCTTCAGGGTGACAAATCCACCTGCAGTGTCCAGGGAATCCCTGTACCAGCTCTGACTAGCAGACTCATTCTGGATACTACCCAATGGAGGGCTCAACTGCTCCCAAACTGCTGGTTCTGAGCCGCCGTGGGTGGGGCGCAGAGGTATACCCTCCCAGGTATTGGACATGCAGGGCCTGGTACGGGACTTTTTAAGTGGTAGGAGCTCTGTATGGGTCATGTTGAACTACTTTGAATTCAGTTGCTAACGGCACAACTTGCTTGCTCCCTGGCCACTTTCCCATCAAAACCCCTGCTTTTCTGAGTAGTTCTCATTGAAAGCCCCTCACATGTGCATGGCACACGACAGTTTGTCTATTTCTTCATTTGTCACCCACAGTGTCTCTGACATGAGTGGAGCGGGGGTTGCTATCTGTTTTAATGATATGGCAACAGTCTCATATATCTCTGAGGTACTGATTAAGTTTGGTTCACATCAACAAAATGCGTGTCTGCGAACATGTAGTGAGCACTTACTCTCTTCAATGGCCTGTGCTAGGTGCCCACCCCTTGGAGCTTCTTGTTTCCTAGACCAACAGATAGCACAGAGAGGTGTGCTGAAATATGGCCACACTGTTCATGCTGAGGGGACACAGGCAAGGCAGCAACCCGCTGGGCCTGCTGGGAGTAGTTTGGGTGATGGGGGGGGGGCCTTCCCAGAGGAGGTGCTCATTGAGCTAAGCCTTGAAGGGGAAGACAGCAAGACAAGCGAGGCAGGAGGTGAGATCCAGATCCTGCCCCCAGGTCCCTGCCTCCATGCATTGCTCCCGACTCTGATTCCAACCTGGCATGACTTTCCAGAACAGAATTTTAACAGCTGACTGGTTCCTGTTCTCAGCGTCAGAAACCCAAAATGCAAGGCCAGGCATCTGATTGGCCTATCCAAAGTCAGGTGGTCACCCCTGGTCCAATCAGCTTTGGCTGAGAAGGTAGGCTTGCATGGAACCAGCCCAGCTAATGCTACCCAGACCTTCCTAGGGGTATTGGAACCCTCACAGTGGCGGGGTGCAGGGCATGCTCCTCCAAGCCTGCCAAGCACATACTCCTTGTTTAGGTCTCTTAAGTCCTATTGCCTGTGCCTCTCATAGGTGAAACTCATCCTATTTTGTTTGTTGTCATGGCTAGTGGTGTCCTTGCTTGTGTCCCCCTCCCCCAGGACTTGAGCTTCTCAAGGGCAAAGATTTTTGTCTTCCTGCTTCAGTACCCTGAATCCACACTTACCCCAGAATTGGAGCTGAGGGTCTCAGAAAATGTCAGTTGAAATGAATAATTCACTACCCAGTAATCCCTCCTCAGGGTGAGATTGCTATCTTGGAGATGGCCTGTGGGAATGAGCCACTCTCTGGCCTCACAAGCTGTTTCTCTTGTTCACAGACCTCTGGACTTCGTGGGCACCTTTAGTAACCGATGGTCCTATGGCATCGCCTTTGGGGCCACGGCCAACAAGGTCATGTTCTTGTTCTCAGAAGGCTACCAGCCCTTGCAGATCCCGCAGTGGGCCCAAGGTAAAGGCTGCCTCATACCTGCTGGGCATTTTGCCATGGCAGGTCTTGCTCTCAGAGACCGCCTGGCACAGGTTCCCTGAGATCAAAGGATAAATGTTATGAGAGTCAGTGTTCTTCCCTAGCTGTCACTTGCCCAAGGAAAATGCCTAGCTTGCCAGGTCTCAAAGCTTGTTTGTGGGGCTTTCTCCCAGTGAGATTTAGAGCTCCTTTAGACATAGAACAAAGGCTCAAAATTAGATTCATCATTACCTACCCCAAAACTCTCTTGAGTCCTAGCCATTGCTGCCTTCTTCATATCAACAAGCCCTGGGATTCCTCCTTACAGAACAATGCTTATTTCTGGGGCCATTGGTCTGAAGCCTCTTCATTTCCCATGCCTCACATTCTCCCTGAAGGATCACTCTAGTATACAGATTCAGTCACCCTAATACAGTGACTTTGAACCTCTCTGTCCAACCTCTCTCAGGGCCTCCAGGCCTGTCTGAGCAAATGTCTACCAAGATCTCATTAGTCTTTAGGGAAATGCAAATTAAAACTGAAATGATATACTATCACATATCTCTTTGACATATATAATTTGATAAGTTTTGACAAATGTTTATATTCATGAAATCATGACCACAATTGAGACAATGAACCCCATAAGTTTCCTTGTCCTCTTTTGTAATCTCTCCTTCCCCCTATTCCATTGCTGCCCTCATTTCTGATCTTTTATTAAAAATTATTTAAATGGAAATATACAGAATGTATTCTTCTTTCACATGGCATAGTTATTTTGAGATTCATACCCATTTAACACATGCCAGAAATTCATTCTTTTTTATTGCTAAGTTATGTTCTACTATATGGAGAAAACAGAGTTCCTGTGCCCATTCACCTCTTTTTTTTTTAAGATTTATTTATTGATGAGAGAGAGAGAGAAAGTGAGTGAGTGGTGGGGAGGGGCAGGAGGAGAAGGAGAGAGAGAATCTCAAGCAGATTCTGCACTGAGCTGGAGCCCAAAGTGGGGCTCAATTCCATGACTCTGAGACCATGACCTGAGCTGAAACCAAAAGTTAGCCTTGTAACCAGCCACACCACCCAGGTGCCTGCCCATTCAACTCTTGATGGACATTTGATTTATTTGCATTTTTAGCTATTGTAAATAAAGCTGCTATGAATATTTGTGTACAAATCTTTGTGTGTACCTGTGCTTCCATTTTTCCTGGCTTCCATTTTACCTTTGAATAGAATGGCTAGATCATATACTTCATGTAGTAGATCATACTTTTTTATTTTTAGATTTTTAAAAAAGTTTTTAAAAAGTTTCTTTATTCATTCATGAGAGACACAGAGAGAGAAGCAGAGACATAGGCAAAGGGAGAAGCAGGCTCCCTGTGGGAAGCCTGATGTGAGACTTGATCCCAGGACCCTAGGATCACCACTTGAGCCAAAGGCAGACGCTAAATCACTGAAAAGCTCCAATGCTCCAGATCATATTTTTAAAAAGAAATCGTCAAACTGTTTTCCAAAGTGATTGTTCCATTTTAGATAACCATCATTGATATGTGAGACTTCCAGTTTCTCTATGTCGTTGGTAGCACATGGTCAGTCTTTTTATTTTTTATTTATATTGTTGTTGTCAGTTCTCTTTATTAAAAAACTTGGGGGGCACCTGTGTGGCTCAGTCAGTTAAACACCTGACTCTTGATTTCACCTCAGGTCATGATCTCAGGGTTGTGAGACTGAACACCATGTCTGGCTGTCTGGCTCTGTTTTAGTAGGGTAGAACCTACTTAAGACTCTCTCTTCTCTCTCTGCTCCTCCCTGCTGCACTCTCTCTCTCTCTCTCTCAAATAAATAAATAAATCTTTTTTTAAAGGGTTCTCTTTCTCCTTTCTCTGCCCCTCTCTCCCACTCCCACTTGTGCATGCACTCTCTTCTCCACACAAAAAAATTATTCTGGGTATAGTTGATGCACAATGTTACATTAGGTTGAGGTATACAGCCCTAGTGATTCAACATCTCTGTATGTTATGCTCTGCTCCAGGCAAATGTAGCTACCATCTATCGCCATACAGCACTATTATAATATCGTTGACTATCTTCCCTGTGCTGTGCCTTTTAGTCCTGTGACCTGTTCGTTATTCATTCCATAACTGGCAGGCTGGAAGTCCCTTTCATCCACTTCGCACTCCCTTGCTGGCAACCATCAGTTTGTTCTCTGTAAATATAGATCTGATTCTACTTTTTGTTTGTTTGTTTAAGAAATAACAAATGTTGGCGAGGATGTAGAGAAGAAAGAACCTTCATGCACTGTTGGTGGGAATGTAAACTGGTACAGCCACTGTGGAAAACAGTATGGAGAGTCCTAAATAATTAAAAATAGAATTACTAGATGATCTAGTAATTCCACTGCTGGGTATGTACCCAAAGAAAATGAAAACACTAAGTTAAAAAGATACAAGCACCCTGTGTTATTTACAATAGGCAAGAAATGGGAGCATTCCAAGTGCCCATCGATAAATGAATAAAGAAGATGTGCTACACACACACACGCATGCACGCACGTAGGAATATTACTCAGCCATAAAAAGGATGAGATTTTGCCATTTGCAATAATGTGGATGGACCTAGAGTGTCTAATGCTAAGTGAGGTAAGACTGAGAAAGACAAACACCATCTGATTTCATTCATATGTGGAACCTAAAAAACAAACGAAACAAAGTCTTTTTAATTTTAGCCATTCTAAGAGGCACATAGTCATGCCTTATTGTGGTTTTCATTTGCATTTTCATAATGACTGATGATATTGAGCATATTTTCATGTGCTCATTTGCTGTCCCTCTAGCTTCTTTGGTGAAGGTCCAAATCACTTTCCTTATTAATAAAAATTAGGGTTTTTGTTTTCTTCATATTGAGTTTTGATAGTTCTAGATCTAGTTCTGTATATAAGTCCATTATCAGATGTCTGAACTGCATTTGCTCCAACAATTTCTTTTGAAAGCTCACTTAAAGTTTTGATGAAATCTAATTTATTCATTTTCTTTTATGGATCATGCTTACAGTCTCATAGAAGAAATCTTTGCCCAGTCTAAGGTCATTTAGATTTTCTCCTGTGTTTTTGCTGGAAGTTTTATAGTTATGATATTTTGCATTTAAGTTTATGATACATTTTGAATTATTTTTTGCATATAATGTAAGGTATGGATTGAAGGGTTTTGGGGTTTTTTTTGTTTTTTGCCTTTAGTTACCCATTTTTTCTAGCACTGCTTATTTCAAAAACCTACCCTTTGCCCACAAAATTGTCTTTGGACTTTTGTCGGCATCAGTTGGCTACATACATATGGGTCTGTTTCTGGACTCTGCTCTGGTCCATCGATCAGCATGGGAGGGCTTCAGTCTCTCCACATCCTCCCCAACAGTATTTTCTATTTTTAACAATTACAGCCATCTTAGTATGTGTATCTGTGTGTATCTTAGTATCTAATTGCTGTCTGGATTTACAGGTCCCTAAAGACCAATGCCGTGGAGCATCTGGCAGGGTCAGACATCATTTCCTGCTTCATGACTCTAGATTCCTCTCTTCTTTTTCACATAGTGATTATAGAGGCGTATCCTCCTGTTATCCTCATACTTTCTGAGTCAACTTCTTTCCTCCACTTGTGTCTGGACACGCTGTTTCCCAGCTCCTAGGAGTCCTACGGTCCTCCCACTTTGGAGTTTACTGTCCGCAGGCCACCTCCTTGGGGGGCCCCCATCCCAGCAGGGGCCTGAGGTATTCAGCATAGGGAGGTCACAGGCCTGCCCGCTCCAGCACCAGCATACCGTGCTTCTTCTCATCTGCAAATCTCGGCCTTCAGCACCTTGCCTGCTTTCAGCTGGGATTTCAGCTTTGGTGTCTTGTGTCTGCTGGCACTTTGGGATTCTACTGTTGGGCCCTTCAGACTCCCACTGCCTTCTTCTGCTTCTTCTTACTCGGGTATTGATACCAAATGGTCTCGAGACCTAGATTTCTGATTGGTGTTGTCTCTGGGTTTGGTTTTGCCATCTTAGTTGCTCTGTCTGCTTCTGTGATGGGGATTTCAGGTAGATTGCAAAATGATGCTGTTGTGGCTTCTATCCTTACATAAATTCTTCCTTGTGTATAGTCTGTCCCTGCCAGCCTCCCATAGCTCACATGCACATAAATATTGACCAACCCCAACTGGCCATCCCACCTCCTCTGAGTGAGGAATGCCCTTCCTTCCCTTCTCCTCTCCATCTTACAAACTCCTGCTTGCATTTCCTGGCCTTGCTAAATGTCAGCACCTCTGGGAAGCCTTCCCTGACACAGACCCCAGGTGAAGTCATTGGCTTCTACTTTTTGTCCCCACAGCAGGTTGACTATGTCTCTGGTAATACAACACTCACCTTTCTCCCTGTCTTCTCTTTGAGGCTGTAAGCATCTCAGAGCAAGGAACTTGTTCATTCTTCCCATGGCCTGAGTGCCTGGCTCTGAACCTGGCTCAAAGCAGATACTGTAAAGGTCATCTTGCATGGTTAGATTTTCCTGGATCCTGTTAGATCCTCTAAGAGCGAGTCAGTGGTAGAATGAATATTATCATTGCCTTGTTTAGAAAGTAGGTAGTGGTTACAAGAGGTATTGCACACACACATCACCAGTCCTTGTGTTGCTATGGTGTATTTGCAGGGCTCTTCTCTTGGTGATTGCTGTTTGTTCACTTATATGGCCTGTCTCCACACATCATACTGTGAGCTGGCCAGAGGCAGGGGCCAGGTCTTCTACATCTCAATACTTAGCCAGTGCCTGGCATGGAAGAGTCCCAGGGAAGGTCTGTTGCAAGACAGAAAGACATTCCTGCATTCCTCCTTGCTAAGCTGGGGCTTGTCCTCTCATCTCCTTGGGTCCTGAGGCCTGTGACTGGAAGTCGGTGAGAAGTCCCATAGCTTCCTTGGGACACCCTGAGCCCGGGAGAAGTGGACTCACAGCGTCTCTGGCCCTGTCTCTCCCAGCCTTTGTGCTGCTGATTGGAGGCGTGGAAGTTGGCCTGTCCCACTTCCCCTTCTTTGCCTGCCTCTCGTCGGAGTTCCAGCTGGTCAGCTCCATCCTCGGCTTCAGCTACTCTCTGATCTGGTAAGACGGATGCTGCTTGTCTGCCTTCCTGTGACTCCTTTGGCCATGGCTGAACTCTGGACAAAGGCTGGAGGTGACCTGAGAGCTCCCTGAGGATCTTTGCCCAGACCTGGGGCTCATGATGGGCAGGCAGGGTGACTGGTCCCAGGTTCCATTATGGCCTCTCTGTGGGCCTGCATTGAAGGCTGCAGAAGGTCTGGACACCATTCTTTCTGCTTCATGGGTCACTCATGATTAGATTATTCCCAGAAGTCAGGGATATAGCAAACTTCATTTCTGTAAACTGCCAAGGATCCCATAGGGGGATGCAGGAGTCCTGTGTGAATGATGTTTCTCTGCGTTGTCACATATCTCCTGGGAGCCCAGGAGAAAATCCATGCACCTCAGCTCAACATTGAGGGCCATTGCAGTGTGGCCTCCCCTCTCTCTCCATCCGCCACGATCTCTAGCACACACCTCAGGTCATACCACACTTTTGCATTCCTTCATTCACCCACTAACTCAGCAGACATGCTATCATATCCTCGCTGTGCCCCAGGGAACATGTTAGCGAATAAGAGGGACCCTTGTGGTTCATGCATTCTGACCTCCTTGTCTATATGTGGCTGTTCCCCCTGTGGATCAGCCTCCCCTACTTGGCCTAGTGATAGATACATGTTCTTCCTTCATGGATTGTCGACCCCACAGATGGAGAACTTTTTGACCTTCTGGTTGATGTCTATGTCCTCAGCACCAGCATGGAGCTGGCCCCAGGAGTACTTGCTGATTGAATAATCCCATAGGCATTCTGGCCAGAGGATTTGAGCCTCTGTCCCCCTCACTGAGCTGGTTCTCCCCACCCCCCAAGCACTGCAGCACTTTCTGGGGATCCACAGAGGGATCCTCAGGCCCATGTGCAGGCCACCTCGGGGGCTTGCAAACAGCTGACACATCAGCGACTACAATTCCCAAGTTTGTAAATGGCTCATTTTATAAAATTAAAAGAGAGTATCCAGGGTCAGACTTGGAGTAATACCATACCGTCTGTCAGCCCTGACAAATCTTCGCCCCGGGGAAGAGAGGGTAGTGGGACTGGCTCAGCAACCTGCGCTCCCCAGAAGATGAATCAGGCTGGAACACAAAGAGGATTGTGCGTCCAGTGGGCAAATGCTTTAGGCTCCTTCCTCAGGGCAGTGTTTACAAATGAAGCCAGTCTGGGCAGAAGGAGCCTAGATGCCAGAGTCGGGAGACCTGGGCCTTGGTCCTGGCTCCAAGTGTGACTCTGGACAAATTTCTGTCCCTCTGTGGGCTTTGGCTTGCCCACCTGAGTGACAGAGGCAGGGAGAAGGAGATCACTCAGGGGCTCTGCTCTGTGGGTTCTGGGATTGGGTCCTATTCGAGGCATATTAAATGAATTTGGGGCATGTACTTTGGCATAAGCAGGGTGTCTGATCTGGGAAGGATGTACACAGAGGCCTTCCCGAGGAGGAAGGGAAGGGGAGGTTGTAGCTCCAGGCTGATGGGATCTGGACCTCTTTTTTTTTTTTCATCTTTTAAAAATTATTTTATTTAAATTCAATTAAGTAATGTTTAGTGTATTATTAGTTTTGGATATAGAGGTCAGAGATTCATCAATTGCATACAAGGCCGAGTGCTGATCACATCCTATGCCCTCCTTAATGCCCATCACCCTGTTACCCCATTCCCCCACCCCCCTCCCCTCCAGCAACCCTCAGTTTTTTCCTAGAGTTAAGAGCCTCTTATGGCTTGTCTCCCTCTCTGATTTCGTTTGGGCTTCTTCACAAGGAATATGCTGGGAGCAACCATAGTACCCCAAACCCTGTTTTTGTCCTGCAGGTTTGCTGTCACCATCCTTTACATCACAGAGTGTCCCCATGGGCAGGTGAGTCCCCACTGAGCTATGTTTAGAGTATTCAGTCCTGTCACTGTGACCAGTTTATTGTGTGGTATTGAACAAGCCTCTGCCACTCTCTGGGCCTCAGTTTCCGTGTGTGAGCAAAAGGAAAGTTGGAGCCATTCACGATATTCCATTTGTACAGCATCTTTTATTCATCAAGGTGCTCATTCATAGACAGATGTTCTCTCAGTTGATGTTCACAGCAGCCCCTCAAGGTGGGGAACTCCTCAGCAGACCTATTTCATAGGTGAGGAAACTGAGGCCCAAGTGTATTAAGTAATTCTAAAGTAGTAGCAGATTTAAGAGTTGAGACCAGGTCTGGCTGACTCCTTCACATAGCCTTACTTTCTCTGTCTATAAAATGGGAGACTTGGACTAGATAAACCCTCCAGCTTGGGCATGCATTGTCCTTCTTGGAATTGAGAAACTGGTTCATCTGTGTAGCCTTGTATGCTAGGAAAATGAGCAAGATGAAAGAGAGTGTCACACTGCATCTAGAAGTGTTGCTAGGCAGGTAGGGGGGGGGAGCATCAGGAGGCCACCGAGAGCAGGAGCCAATGGGAGCCTTGTCAAAGTCTTTCCCAGGTTTCACTAACCATGGAGGGTGTGATGGAGCTGGATTGGAAAACAAGCTTGAGGGCTGGGCCTTCCCTCTGCATCTCTGTGCTGAAATGCACGAGAACATTCTAGCATTCCTCTGCCCAAAGAGATACCCTCCACCCTGCTCACAGTGCCAGAGATTCCAGATCACAGACATTTTCTTTGGAGAGGTTCCAGACTTCCTGAGGTTCTTCTGAAATTCGAAATATTCATGGTCAATTAAGGGAAATGGCAGGCTCTTACCTCTATGCTCAGTCACTAATGTTAAGAACTGCTATTCTAGGTGCTGTCCTAGGCTCAGGCCCCGAGATTAACTATTGCATGATTCAAGGCGCTTCAAGGTCCTTTGAAGGCTGTATGGTAGTACTATACCCAGCTCACCAATAAATAAGAAAGTTAGACTCAGGGGCTAATGGGACTTATGAGTTAAAAATCATGGGACTAGAATCCAGATCAAGGTAATAATAAAGATTTCATCTTGTGTTCTCAAATGTGTTCATGGAAGCATTATGTATGAAAATGAGACATTGGAAGAGTAAAAAATGTCAAATATTAGGAGAAACTTTAAATAAAATTGGATCATCTAAGTAATGCAGTATTACGGGGCATTAAAAGTGACATTTGCAAATAATTTGTAAGCACATGGGGAGCTGATTACGATGTATACAGGCCTATGTATTTGGTATAATTTCTATTTTATTTTTTTAAAGATTTATTTATTTATTCATGAGATACACAGAGAGAGGCAGAAATAGTAGCAGAGGGAGAAGCAGGCTCCCTGTGGGGAGCGCGATGGGGAACTCGATCCCAAGACGCCAGGATCATGCCTTGAGCTGGAGGCAGATGCTTAACTGCTGAGCTACCCAGGCATCCCATAATTTCAGTTTATAATAGACATATATGTAAGGATAGATACAAAGAAAAGACACTGGAATATTGGTAGTGGTGATGTCTGATGTCTGAGTGGTGAGCATAGAGTGGTGAGGATGAGGGGGAGACATGAGTGCTCACATCTCAGCATGCTTCTGCCTGGTACCTGAACATCACAGCATCAAAACCTAACTCCCCATGGGGGCAAGTACTCAGGAAACATAAAAAACATGAAACCAGGGGCATCTGAGTGGTTCCATCGGTTAAATGTCTGACTTTTCATTTTGGCTTGGGTCTTGATCTTGGGGTCGTGGGATCAAGCCCTGCACCTGGCTCTGCAGTGGGTGCAGAGTCTGCATGGGATTCTCTCTCTCTCTCTCTCTCTCTCTCTCTCTCTGCCCTTCCCTCCACTCACACTCACTCTCTCTGAAATAAATTAATTAATCTTTAAAAACAAAAACCCCCATGAAACTAACCACTAAATTGTGAAAGATAAGTCACAATATTATTTGTCTTAAAACAGTGAAAAAGTACTTTGTGTGGGTTTTTTTTCCGTTAAAATGAAACTAAAATTACAGAAAAACTATGAACAATATCTTGAGAGACCTGTACTCTTGAGAACTTCTGTTGCTGCCAACATGATGGCAGTTATGAGGCCTTCCTGCCCATCCTTCCTTCTTTCCTTCCTTCCTTCCTTCCTTTTTTCCCTTCTTCTCTTTCTGTTTCTCCTTCTCTCTCTTTTTTTCTCCTCTCTGACCCTCCTCTCCCTGTTTCTCCTCATTACTCCTCTTTCTATATCTCTCTCTGTTATGTGTATTTTCCAAAAGTAGCAGTATTTGATACCTGATCAGAAAAAGCCGTGGGGCACCTGGGTGGCTCAGTGGTTGAATGTCTGCCTTTGGCTCAGTGTGTGATCCTGGGGTCCTGGGATCGAGTCCAGCATCAGGCTCCTCACAGGCAGCCTGCTTCTCCCTCTGCCTATGTCTCTGCCTCTCTCTCTGTGTCTCTCATGAATAAAAAAATAAAATATTAAAAAAAAAGAAAGAAAAAGCCACGAAAGCCCTTTGTATAAAATACAATGGAAGTGCTACGACTCACACCCAGGGCTGCTAGACTGTAGGGCCACTGCTCATGCCATGGGACCGGGTGAGCAGAGATTGACCACTGGCCGCCCAACTCTGAGGGAGTGGGCAGACAGGCAGACCCCTGCCCGCAGCTTTACCGGTGGCCTGGCCTCAGCCCGCCTACAGCCCGCACCCCGCGCTCTGCTTCTGTTGCAGTTTTTGGGGAGGTACGAGACAGTCATGTTCTACTGGCCTTCACTGCTGTGCCTGGCCTTCCTGCTGGGCCGCTTCCTGCACATGTTTGTCAAGTCTCTGAGGGTCCACCTGGGCTGGGAGCTGCCGATGGTGAGTACTGAGGGGGAGCCCCGTGTGTGTCCCCGCAGGTCTAGTGGGCACAACTGCCCTGTGAGGGAGGCGCTGGTTCTACTTCTCCCATTCTACGTGAGGAAACGCGGACCCGGGGAGGGGAGTTGCATTGGCCGAGGTCACGCAGCTGGTCTGGAACAGAGCCAGAACTGGACCCAGAGAGCTCAGGGCTTGAGGCTCTCTCTTAACTGCTGTTCTCAATCCAAAAGAGCAACTTTACCCAAATTCCTGGCCTCTGTGACAGTAGCCAGTTAAAGAGACCAAACCCTGACAAGAATTTGTGAGCCTAAGCATGCACCCTTCTCTTGCCTCACAGGAAGAAAAGCCTTTCCTGGAAGCTCACCAGGCAGAGCACGTCAAACGGCTCCTGAGGAAGCCCCCCCTGCAGTAAGCCCCAGGGTGCCTCAGTCACCCCTCGGTGTTTGCACCAGCGCTGAGGAGCCCTGACAGTGTGGCAGACCGTGAGACGACTGGAAGGGCGCATAGTAGTCAGGACGTTTGTTTGCTAAAGACAGACACTCAACTCGGACTAAATTAAAGAGAAAATGGAAATGCATGACCTTCCATAACTAAAAGTCTGGAGGTGGTCAGCTCCGATGCAGATGGAGCCAGTGACTTCCTTGTTATCAGAACCAGGGCTAGTTGCCTCATTTTCTCTTAGCCTGTGTTAGCCTCATAGTGAGGTGGGCTTCCTCCCTGTGGTGGCCCCCAGAATCTCTAAGCTTATACCCTCCTGGTTTAAGATCCCAGAAAAAAAGAAATTTTTCTTTCTGATAATTCAGACCAAACTCCCATTGTGATTTATTGGATCAATTGGACCCCAAGCCTTCCCCAAACCAATTACTATGGCAGGGTGATTAGATTAAGTGGATTGGTAAGCCTGTCACATATTCACCGTTGGAACATAGGAAGTGGTTCAGCCTCACTTAACCGCAAGGACTGATGGGAGGGAGCAGGTTCCTAGAGAAAGACTGCTTTGCTGTTACTAATACAAGAAGACACAGCTCATGGCCAAGCAAAAGCACCTGGTCTTCAGTGACCAAAAATAAACGGTGCCACTGCCACCATGTATAAGAGGATGTACCCCAGAGGAGGGATGTGGCTAGTCCAAGGTCATACACTGACGAAACTTGTACATTGGTTGGAACTACATTTGCTTACATGTAGCAGAAAACGCAAAATAATGGTGGGACACGCAAGAGGGAGATTTCTTTTTCATGTGAAAGAATTTTGGAGGCAGGTAGTTCATACTGACCCTGAACTGCCCACCATGGAACTTTGCTGATCATTCTTATGATTTTCATCATGAAGGCTGTCCATGTCCAAGGTAGATGCTGGGTAGGCTCCAGCCTGGACTGGCCACCATGTCTGCATTTCAGACAGCAGGCAGGAAAAACGAAGGAAGGGCAATGGGGTCCCTCTCAGCTGTGTCAATTCCACTTCAGCGCCTTCCCCAAAGCGCCACACCACACTGTGGTCACATCTGATTGGCCTGTGCTTAGTCTTGGTCACTCTTAGCTGTAAGAGAGTTCAGGAGTGATAGCCCTTTAGTTTGGTGAATTGCTCTACTGAGTAAAATTGAGTCTCCGTTCTTAAGAATAAGGGGAGAAAGAAAACTAGAATCTACCAGTGTTCTTTCTCCTCATTAGATTCTAAGATAAGCAGAGGCAATGCAGTTATTTTCAGAAGAATCAGGCATTTGTTTATCAACCACAGCCTCTCTTTTCTTGTTATTTATTCATTCACAGGGAGTCTAAAAAGTCCTGGTTCCAAACCAGAATATATGAGTGGGACCCTTGCTTTCAGTTCCCAAGCAGAATGATTGGAACCATTGTGTTGGCTTTCATATGCCTGTACCTTGTAAGTATATCTGAACAAATTCTTTTCTTTTTTATAAGTGGGAATGGATGGTTTAGGGCAGGGGTGATTCTTTAAAAGCTGGGTCAAAGGACTTTTGACCATGTAAAGAACTCACAAGATGCCACTCCATTCTAACAGCAAGTAAAAATCTGAACAAATTGAAAAATCAACAGTTCTTCTTAGATCCATAAAAGAAGAGAAGTCATGGTACAAACTACTGCCCCTACAATTGGAGACAGGTAGATAAAAGAACCACAATGGAATGGAGCAAATCAATCCATCAATGTATGAAAAGAATTATAAACCACAACCAAGTGGGATTTATCTCAGATATGCAAGCCTGGTAAATGTTAAAAAGTCAATTAATGTAATCAATCACATCACTGACCGAAAGAAGAAAAATCATATGATCATACCAATAGATGTAGAAGAAACATTTAAAAAAATCCAACACCAGGTCATGAGAAAATTTTTCAGCAACCTAAGCATAGAGGGAAACTTTCTCAATCTGATAAAGAATATCAACAACAAATCTACAGGTAACATCATACTTTATGGTGAGAAATTAGAAGCTTTTCTACTAAGATCTGGAAGAAGGCAAGACTGTTCCCCTCACCACTCAACATTTACTTAGGAAATCCTAGCTAAGTAACAAGACAAAGGAAATAAAAGGAACACCAATTGGGAAGGGAGGAGCGAAAATGTCTTTGTTCACACATAACAGGATTGTGTATGTGGAAAACCCAAAAGAATCAACAACAGCAACAAAAAACTCCAGAAGAGGCACCTGACTGGTTCAGTCAGTAGAGCATGTGACTCTTGATCTTGGGGTTGTAAATTTAAGCCCCCGTTGGGTATAGAGATTACTTAAAGTCTTAAAAAAACTCAACTGGAACTAATAAGCAGCTACAACAAAGTTGCAGGGTATAAGGTTAACATACTAAAAAGTCAGTTTTCCTGCATGTGGATGTTTGTAGCAGCTTTATACATTATTGCTAAAAATGGGAGTGACCGAGAATCCTTCAGTGGGTGGATAAATAATCTTTGGTACATCCAGACAAAGGGATACACTACAAGGAAATGAACTATCAAGCCCTGAAAAGACATGGAAGAAAATTACATGCATAATAGTAAGTGAAAGATGCCAATTTGAGAAGGTCACATATATTATTCCAACTGTGTGACATTTTGAAAGGCAAAATTATGGAGACAGTAAAAGATCAATTGTTACCATGGGTGGGGGAGGGGAGGGATGAATAGGAAAAGCACAGAAGATTTTAGGGCAGTGAAAATACTTTGTATGATATTATTATGGTAGATACATGTCATTAGATGTTTGTCCAAATCCATAGAATGTGCAACACCAAGAGTGAACCCTCGTGTGAACTATGGAGCTTGGATGATAATCATGTTTCGGCATAGGTGCGTTAGTTAAGTGTGTTTTCTCAACAAAAATTTTAAATGTTTGCATAATTCTGACTTTAATATATTTTTTTAAGATTTTATTTATCTATTTGTGAGAGACAGAGAGAGAGAGGCAGAGACCCAGGCAGAGGGAGAAGCAGGCTCCATGCAGGGAACCTGATGTGGGACTTGATCCAGGACCCTGGGATCACGCTCCGGGCCGAAGGCAGGCACTAAACCACTGAGCCACCCAGGGATCCCCCTGACTTTAATATTTTATTAAACACAGGATCAAAACACTTCATGCGGTCAGTTACCTGAGGTAACTTGTCTGAGTCAAAAGTGGGGTGAACATAGAAAGATAGAACTGGCAAGACCAAGTTGTCTTTTGTTGTTGTTGTTTTTAAAGATTTTATTTATTCATGAGAGATAGAGAGAGAGAGAGAGAGAGAAGCAGAGACACAGGCAGAGGGAGAAGCAGGCTCCATGTAGGGAGCCCAATGTGGGACTGGATCCTGGGTCTCCAGGATCAGGCCCTGGGCTGAAAGTGGCGCTAAACTGCTGAGCCACCCGTGCTGCCTCCAAGTTATCTTTTGGATGATAACCTAAATTCATCCTGTGATTGAGTTTTAGATGAATGTGTTAGGTAGGTAATGCTGAAGTACCACATAAACCCCTAAATTTCAGTGACTTAGCACTATATGTATATTTGCCCATATAACAATGTTGAGTGGGTATTCATATTTGAGGGGGGCAGCAGTCCTCTGTGTGTTTTTCCATAACCCAGATTCTTCCACCATATGCCTTATGATCCCCAAGAACCCTCACCCTCTGCATCTAGTCAGCAGAAGGGGAAGGTATATGGAGAAATGCATGGGGTGGGGGTGGGGGGTTCAAAGACCTGTGTGGAATAGCACACATTCCTTCCACTCCTCTTCCATGGGCAAGAACCATGTCATTAAAAAAAAAAAAAAACATGTCATGTGGCCACATCTAACTCAAGGGAGGCTGGGAAATGTAGTCCGGCTTTGTGCCCAAAGAATGAGAAAATGGGTTTTAATGGACAACTGAAATTTTCTGCAACATGACTTGGCGTTACTGTGTTCCTTAAGTCTTTCATGGTTATCTACTGTATGCCAAGCACCATGCTCAGACCTGGAAGAGAGAAGACAGCTGATTCCAAAGAGTCTTGGTCTGGGAGAGACCTTCTGGGAGAGACCTGGTCTAAGAGATGGGGATAGAATGTGGTATGAAGTACCTGCCATGTAAATAGAGAAAAAAAAAAGATGAAAGTACTCTGAAATTAGTGAATTATTCTAGTTTGAGAAGCTCCCTGAAGATGGTAACATTTGGCTGCACATTCAAAAACAGACAAAATTTGGTTGATGAAGTAATAAAATGGTAGTGGGAACTCTAGAAGTTTTGGTATGCTAGTAGGTGGCATGAGGCCATGATGCCAGGATGATGGGAGTGAGCACGTGTGACAAGTTTACGGAAAACAGTACTTCCTATAATGTGGTTACTACCAAGATACTATATACAGGAAACAGTACTTCTGTAACTTGGTTACCACCAAGAAGGAGAGCAGATTCGGCTAGAGTTGTCCCCAAGATCGCTCCTTATTCACAGGCATTCATTTCACTTTGATGTAATAAATGTTGGAAGAGTTCCCTGAGCCCTTGTAGGACCTAGTCTTGTATGCTATAGGGTGAAGAAAAGAGTTTGGGGTGACTCCAAAGAAGTCATAATCCCACTCATCTTGGTACTGTTTAGAGTCTATTTCAGATGAGTTTTGTACTTCAAAGAATTTTGACCTCAAAACCAAAGAAAGATCCATGTGTTATTCACCTAGTAGGCTGGACTCAGGTGAGACTTTGAAATGTTTGCTCTTTGTACCAGTTCATTGTCATTGAGTTCTGCATGTTCGTGTTTGTGAGAGACGAGCTGGATGTGTTTGAAGGGGAGCTGGAGAACTACATCGCCTCCATGAACCAGACGGGGACCCTGACCCCAGTCATCCTGCAGGTGAAAGAGCTGATGAGCGTCAGCAAAGGTAACACCGTCCTGCCACCTTTGCTGGGAAGGTGTGGGAAACTGAGAGATAGTGGCAGGTGCACACCTGGGATAATGATTGCTCTAGGATTGCTATTACCTGCACAAGGTGACTGGTTTTGGAGAAAAGTGGGTTACAACTGATAACATGCCTCTGGGTGATTAGGGTGGGTGAACTGGAGTAAATATATCACCATATTCCCTCATGTTGTACGCCCTTTTTCATGTATTACTGTTACTTCACATGTTTAGTTAATTTGAGAATCAATGCATGAAAAGAAAGAAATTTTTCATAGAATGAAATTTTTTTTATTCTATCTTCATCTTTTCCAGCTTTAAAACAGCTGTCCTCTGACCAAGAGAGACTTTAAACTGAAAGTGCTTCATCTTTGGGTAGATAAAAGCATTAAATTAAAGGTGTGCATTGAGTCATGCCCTTGCTGCTGGCTGGAGCAAGTCTGCACTCACTCTGCTTGTGGCAAGACTCCTCCCATCCTTCCTTCAAGGATCCATGTGCCCCACAGGGGTGAGCTTATGGTAGTTTACCTGCACCCTTTGTGTTGGTTGAAATTTGGGATATAGCAATTGTGTAATCCTGGTGATGCTGGGACAGAGACACATTTAAAACTTAAAAGAAACAGAGATCAGCTTTCTTTTTCCTTCTTTTTAAGACAACTTTTCAAAGATATAATTCACATACCTTGCAATTCATCCATTGAACTCCCAAGTACAATTCTGTGGTTTTAGTATATTCTCAACTATCACCATTGTGTGACCATCACCACCATCACATTTAGAACATGTCATCACCCTGTAAAGAAATCATGGCCATTTGTAATCACTCCCCATTTCCCTTCAACATTCTCAGCCCTAGATCACTACTCTTTTCTGACTCAATGATTTGGCTCTTCTGGACTTCTTACATAAATGGAATCACATGATATGTGGTCTTTTTGGTTGACTTCTCCCACATAGCAAATGTCTACAAAGTCCATCTATGTCATAGCATGTGACTGAACTCTGGTTTTTTTTTATTGCTGGAATTAATTCTGTTATATGAATATATCACATTGTATTTATCCGTTCATTGGTTGATGGAAATCTGAGTTGTTTCAACTTTCTGGCTATTATGAGTAATCCTGCTATGAACATTCACCTCCAAATTTTTCACATATTCTCATATATCTTGGGTGTATATCTAGGAGTGGAATTCTGAATCATATGGCAACTATGTTTAACCTCTCAGGGATTTGGCAGACTTTTTCCAAAAGCAGCTGCATCACTTTGTGTTCCCACCAGCAATGTATCAGGGGTCCAATTTCTCCATATCTTTACCAACATGATATGTCTTTTTTTTTTAATGATAGCCATCTAGTAAGTGTGAAATAGCATTTTATTGTGGTTTTGATTTTCATTTCCAAGTGATATCTAGATGTTGAAAATCTTTTCATGTCTTTATTGGCCAATTGTACATCGTCTGTGAGTAATGTCTTTGGAGATTCTTTGCCTATTTCTAAATTGAATTCTTGGGCAGCCCGGGTGGCTCAGCGGTTTAGTGCTGCCTTCAGCCCAGGGCCTGATCCTGGAGACCTGGGATCAAGTCCCACGTCAAGCTCCCTGCATGGAGCCTGCTTCTCCCTCTGCCTGTGTCTCTGCCTCTCTCTCTCTCTCTCTGTGTGTCTCTCATGAATAAATAAAATAAAAAAAATAAAATATAATAAATTGAATTCTTTATTGATTATTGAGCTATAAGAATCCCTTAAGAGATATAATTTCCAGGTATTTTCTCCCATTCTGTAGGTTGCTTTTTTTACTTTTTTGATGGTGTCCTTTGAAACATAGATGTTTTTAACTTTGATGGAGTTCAGTATATTCATTTGTGTATATTCATGTGTGTATCTAAGGAAATGTTGCCTAACGTGAGGTCACAAAAATTTATTATATTTTCTTCTGAGACTTATAATTTTAGCTTTTACATTTAAACCTATAATCCACTTTGAGTTAATTTTTGTATATGCTGTGAGGTAAGATTCTAACTTCATTGTTTTGCATGTGAGTATCAGTGACCCTGTGCCGTTTGTTGAAAAGCATATTTTTTCTTCATTGAATTGTCTTTTTTATCCTTGTTGAAAATATTTGATGATGCGAGCTTACTTCTGAATTCTTATTACATTGATCCTACACATCTATTCTTTTTTTTCTTATTATCATTTTTTTCGTTTTTTAATAATAAATTTATTTTTTATTGGTGTTCAATTTGCCAACTTACAGAATAACACCCAGTGCTCATCCCGTCAAGAGCCCCTCTCAGTGCCCGTCACCCATTCACCCCCACCCCCCGCCCTCCTCCCTTTCCACCACCCCTAGTTCGTTTCCCAGAGTTAGGAGTCTTTATGTTCTGTCTCCCTTTCTGATATTTCCCACACACTTCTTCTCCCTTCCCTTATATTTTTATGGCAATACCACACTATCTTCATTACTGTAGCTTCGTAGTAAATTTGAAATCAAGAGGTTGAGTCCTGCAATTTTCTTCTTCCTTTTCAAGATTGGCAATACCTATTCTGGATCCCTTCATTTTTATATGAATCTTAGGATTAGCTTGTCAATTTATGCAAAAATGGCATTGGAATTTTGATAGGTATTGGGTTGAATCCTTGGATCAATTTAGAGAATATTGCCATGTTAGCGAACATCCTATACATGAATATGGCATGTCTTTTCATTAATCTCCATCTTCCTTAATTTCTTTCAATAGTCTTTCATAGTTTTCAGTGTACAAGTTGTATACTTCTTAAGTTTGTTCTTAAATATTTCTTTTTGATACTAATGCAAACGTAATTTTTTTCTTCATGTTCAGATTGTTCATTGCTAGTGTACAGAAATACAGTTGATTTTCATATATTTGCCTTGTAACCTGCAACATTGCTGAATTCATTTGTTAATGAGTTTATTTCTTGGGACTTTTTAAACATAAGAACCCTGGTAAACAGAGATAGTTTTATTTCCTCCTTTACAGCCTGGCCGCATTTTCTTGCCTAATTTCCCCAACTAGACCCTCCAGTACACTGTTGGATAGAATTGGTGAGAGTGGATATTGATTTTCTTGTGTCCGAACGTGGGGGGAATGCAGTCAGTCTTTTCTTGTTTAGTATGATGTTAGTTGTGGATTTTTTGCAGATACTTTTTAATCAAATTGAGGAAGTTCTCTTCTGTTTCTACACTATGGAGTGTTTTTAATTATGAAGAGGTGTTGGATTTTTAAGAAATGTTTCTTGCGGACCAACTAATAAACAGCTTGTCCAGAAGCTTTTATATCTACATATCATCTCCCTCCCCTGTTTCTCCATCCTTTTCTCATAAGCACACAGGATCACGTGAAAGCAAACCAGATACAGCATATTAAAAACTTGCCAAAAGAGGGTTGAAAGAATAGTCAATACCTCTTGATTCGATTTATCCTTGTATGTGGTTGCTCTTTACTGGGGGTGGCAAATAGAAGTCAGCTATTAATGGTTTTACAAGGACAGAAGGTAACTACGATGTGTATATTCCCTAATTTTCTCTTCCCATTACGCACTCTAGATGGAAAATATTAATACCAAAGGAGAGGCATGTGCAATAAGTGAAGTATAGTGAGGGGGTGTGTGTCTGAAATGAAACAGAAATATAAACAAAACTTTATTTATACATGAAATGTGGGTAAAAAAGAAAGTAAAATGTATTTGCCCAGCCCTTTCTGATGTGAGCATCTGCCTTTTTTTTTTAAGATTTTATTTATTTATTCATGACAGACACACAGAGAGGGAGAAAGAGAGGCAGAGACACAGGCAGAGGGAGAAGCAGGCTCCATGCAGGGAGCCCAATGTGGGACTTGATCCTGGGTCTCCAGGATCCGGCCCTGGGCTGAAGGCAGTGCTAAACTTCTGAGCCACCCAGGCTGCCCGAGCATCTGCATTTTGAAAATAAATTTCTGACTCATCTTCTCAGGCCTGTCCTGTGACTTTTTCTATTTCAGGAGTCTGGCTGGTGACCATCTTGCCCGCCTCTTTCACGTGCGTCAGCTATCTGTTCCACATATTGGCCTGTTACAGGTAGGAGGGCCCTGGGAGTCATTTGTGTGTCTTCAGCCAGAATTTTCTAAAAATTCCTGAGCCGTGACAGCAGTGTCCAAATTGGAACCAGAAATGTATATGTTGCCCAGGAACAGCCACATCTATTGGTAGTAGGACAGAAAACCCCAAACCAAAACACTGTTGATTTGAGCTTCTACTATAAACTTGACATTGTGCTTAGACTCTTGATTTTAAAGGGCTTCTGGGTGGCATGGTTGGTTAAGCAGCCACCTCTTGGTTTCAGCTCAGGTCACAATCTCAGGGTCCTGGCATTGAGCCCTGCATCACATCTGGCTTCCCACTCAGGGGGGCATCTGCTTCTCTCCTTCTCCCTCTCCCTCTGCTCCTTCCCTAGTGAGCATGCTCTCTTTTTCTCTCTCAAATTAATCAATCAATCAATCTTTAAAAAAGATAATCTTTTGATTTTCACCATAACCCTGAGAGGTAATTTTGTCTCTGTTTTTTCAGCTGAAAAGATTGAGACTCAACAAAATAACTCACCCAAGCCATTAGCAGCTGGCTATGTCTTCTGCCCTGAGAGGCCTTATTGCTTCTTGTACACTCAGCATCTCTTTTGAGTGTCAGACCTGCTCTGGTCTCCAGGACTAACCACACTGAGTTCCCAGCAAGTACATCTGGCTCAAGGGAGCATCAAAGGAGAGCAGGTCAAGGACACCAGGTGCATCAGTCTCTAGAAGAGCAGAGCAGGAGGAGGGGATGGCCTTCAATATGAAGTGAACATTTCATGCAGATAGTTGAATTTTAGTAACTGCCCTTCTCTCTCTCTCTCTCTCTCTCTCTCCCCCTCCCTCCCCCACCTCATCTGTTCCCTTGTCCCCCCTCAGTCTCTAGCTCAAATGCAGTCACAGAAAGCCTAGGGCCAACTCCTACTCTTCCGAAGCATCCTGCCTCACATCCTTACTATCTGGCTGCCCAAGGATGGATATTTTGCAGTAAGGACTCTCCTGGCATGAAGAGGCCCCAGCTCTCCATAGCAGCCCTAGCTTGCTCCCTCTCTCTGCTTTCTTCTCCCCGGGCCCCGGGGGTGGACTGGACACTGGCGCTCCCCCCTGCCCTGCCTCATGCGGGGATATCCCTACTCCTTCCTTCATTGGCCTGACACTGCCTGGGAGATTATCAGTGAGACATTGGACCACAACCAGTCACAACCACCTTTTAGAGCTGGCTGCACTGACATGGGTGGAGGGCACAGGGAAGAGAAGGTACCTGTAGCAGGGAAGACTTATTCTTGCCCAGGCTGGCCCCTCCCTCCCATACCTGTCACTGAGGACTGATGATCCCTGCCCTGTTGGCTTTACAGGACCATGGGGCAAAGGAAAGAGTGGATAAGAAAAACCTACAGCTGGACAGCACTAGTACTGTGCCAGTATTTTTATTTTTCTTAGAATTATTCCAACCTATATGCAGTCTCTTTTTATTTTTTTAAAGATTTTATTTATTTGTTCATGAGAGACACAGAAAGAGAGAGGTAGAGACATAGGCAGAGGGAGAAGCAGGCTCTCTGCAGGGAGCCTGATCCGGATCTCGATTCCAGGTCTCTAGGATCACCCCCTGAGCCAAAGGCAGATGCTCAACTACTGAGCCATCCAGGTATCCTTGCAGTCTCTTTTTAAAAAATGTTATAAAAATATTTAGTGTAAAATTTTTCTCTCAGTCAGACCCCAATTTGTTGCCTTAGAGCTAAACGTTATTCATTTTCTGCGTCCTTCCAAAAATTCTCTGTACATCATGCAAATATATCTGTATGTTTGTATTCCTGGTGGCATACTCCATTCCAGTCCTGCTGAGCAGAAACATAATGAAAACCATAGATGCAATTTTGGATTTTCTAATAGACGCTTGTAAAAAGTGAAAAAGGAGGTGAAGATAATTTAATAATATATTTTAGTTAATCCAACATAGCCCCAAACCATCATTTCATCATGTAATAAGTATACAAACTATTAATGAGATATTCATATCCTTCATTTCATACTAAGTCTTCCCAAAGTAGTGGTCATAAAATTGCAAAACATCCTGGAAAATGCTAGATATAGGATGTTAAGGAAAAAAGCAGGACACAGATGTGAACATGGACCATGAACATAGCCATCACCAACCCAATCTTTACACAAGGGCCAGGCCGAGACTAGCACAGGGGAAGGCATGTGGAGGCTTGCAGGGGTGCTGGGAGTATGAGGGGCTCTGGTACCTTTTTCAGTTTCCTTTATGTTGTTATAAGGTGGATTATCATTAAAAATCGTTTTCCATTATTACCTGTTTTGAAATATTATTACATAAGTAATACATATTCATCACAGAAAAAAAAGAAAATATAGCAAATTGAAGAAAATAAAAGCTACACATAGAGTCTCAATGATCACATTCAGTCATCATGAAGACTGGGTAATTACATATTATTTTTACAAAATATGTTAGGATTTTTAAATCATCAGGGAAATGTGTGGCCATGTTAAGACCACAATGAGGCATCACCTCACATCTGTTAGAATGGCTAGTACCCGAACCACAAGAAGTAACAAGCATTGGCAAGAATGTGGAGAAAAAGGAGCATGCCCTGTTGGTGGGGATATATATTGGTGCAGCCACTGTGGGAAATGGTCTGGAGGTTCCTCAAAAAAAAAAAAATAAAAATAGAACTACCAGATGGTCTAGCAATTTCATTTCTGGGTATTGATCGGAGGAAAACAAAAAACACTATTTCGAAAAGATATTTGCACCCATCCATGTTTACTACCATGTTATTTACAATATTCAAGATATGAAAACAACTTAAGTGTCCATTGAGGGATGAATGGGCTAAAGGATGTCACACACACACACACACACACACACAGAGCGGAATACTATTCAGACATAAAAATGAATGAAATCTTGCCTTTTGCAAAACATGGATGGACCTTAAAAGGCATTATGCTTCATGAAGAAAATTAGACAGAGAAAGACAAATACTGTATGATCTTACTTACATGTGGAATATAAAAAATAAAAAAAAAACAAGGTCACAGGTAAAAAGAACAGATTTGAGATTGTGAGAGGTGGAGGTGGTGGGTGGGTGTAGGTGAAGGAAGTCAAAAGATAGGCTTCCAGTTATAAAATAAATGTCATGGGATGTCATATTCAGCATGGTGACTATAGATAATAGTACTGTACCACATATTTGAAAGTTACTGATGTGTCTTAACAGCTCTCCTCGCAAGAAAAACAAACTTGTAACTATGCGAGGTGATGGATGGTAAGTAGACTCATTGTGGTGACCATTTTGCAATATACACAAATATAGAATCATTATGTTGTACATCTGAAACTTTATGTATTATATCAACTATATCTCAATTTAAAAAGTTCTTTAAAATATTTTTAAGGCTCGTGAGAACTGTCCCACGAGCTGTGGTCAGTACAGGGAAGCCGAGCTGGCCACCATCTCCTTCCACAGGCTTTTCTGTTTACATCTGTTGAGTCCTAAGTACATAAGGAGCCGTGGTTATGAACATCACTAATTTCCTACTTTTTCTCTAGAAAGCACATGAAGAGGTTGTGGGCAGGAAATAAGCACTTTCTTCCTTCGAAGTTCCATAATCCTTCCTCAGCAGAGAGTGTGGTAAGTCCTCAGAGGCCTCTCTCTGCTCTGAAACTAAGTGATCGGCCGAATCCTGCTCTCCCGCCCCTGGGACAGGAGCAGCATCCTGGGGTAGGGAGAGCCCTGGACTGGGAGTCCAGAGGCCTCACTTCTAGTCTGTTCTGCTGCTGGGTGACTCAGGATAGTCACTGTCCCCATATGGCCCTTGGTTTCCTCATCTGTAAAATGAAGACCATCATGACACCTGAACCTCAGATGAGGCAGGGATGTGGGACCCGTGTGTTACAGGTGATCAGTGTTTTCTTCCTTCTGAAACCCCTTTTTCTTTTTAAATCTCAGGTGGCCATTGCAAGATACTCTGGCTGGCAAATAGCTTATATTCTGTGGGGTAAGTGCCATCATGTGACCTATTCAATTCAGCACCCATTCCGCAGTCACCTGCAGAGTCCTGGCTGCGTGTAGTAAGAAGAGAGGTGAGGAAGAAGCAGCCCTTGTTCTTCCTCCTTCTGGAATGAGAGAGAATCCCACTCTCACATAGCTATCATTACCTCCTGCCCTAAGTCCATGGGCTGGAAATGCTAAAGGCAGTGGTGATATAGAGGAGGAGGTGACTCTCCATATCCAGGACAGTACACAAATGCTTTCTAGTGGACTTGACATTTGAACGGCATCTGGCAGGAGGTGCAGAGAAGGTCAGCAGGAAGACAGCAATGCCAAGCAGAGGAAACAGCATAAGTGAAAATGCCAGACCTTTGGTGGGGAGAGGTTAGAGGGGGAACTTCAGGAAGGGGCATGTATGACAGGTCATAAAGGGCCTCGAATGACCATGGGTTCCCTTGGCCCACAGGCTACCTCATCATCCACGTGGTACAGAGCCTATGCGGCATGCTGATCATGTACGGCCTGGTGTTGCCTATCATCCACAACCAGGGCCTGGAGATGCTCCAAGGACTGGGCATTGGGACGTAAGTGCTGGGTGGGTTCCCTGTCAACTCCCAGGGCCTAGGAGTTGGTGGACCCTTGAAGCTCCTGTTCAGATTGATCCTTCCCTTTTGGGTTCTCACCAATTCCTGGACCCTTGCTCTCTCAACTCTGACCCAAGGATGGGCCAGACTAGCAACTCATCACAATGGGCACCATACAGTCGACACTGTTCATTGGGGCACTCACAATTGTGTTGGGGGGTGGATAGGCATATGTCCATTTTATAGCTGGGAAGACTGAAGTTCAGGGAGGCGACCTGAGAGTCACAGCAGTGTAGTGGAAGAAGAGAGGGAATCTGAGCTTAGGTTCTAGATCAGCTGTGTGATCTTGGGTAAACTGCTTCTCTGAGCCTCAGTTTACCCAGATAGAAGATAAAAGTGAAGGCTGACTTTTCAGTAAAAGACAGAATTACTGAGAATTCACTATGCATCTCAGAATTACTGAGAATTCACTATGCATCTTTTCTCTTAAGAACCCTTTGAAGGTTAGATCTCATGTTAACACCCATTTTTCAGACAAAGAAACAGGCACAGAAGGCTAACTAATTTGTCCAAGGAGGGGAAGAGGCAGGGTTGGGAGCTAGGAATCTGAAGCCAAGGCCCCACTTAACTGCCGTCCCACACTGCTGCTCAGGGAATGCAAATACAGGATGTGGCCCTCTCTGGGAACTCCCTGATCTGAGCTTTTTGGTTCTATTCTCCTCTAGAGCCACGTGGGAGGCTGGGCAGAGCCTGTCTGTCCATTCTCAGGGCCTTCATGAACTCTTTAAAAAAACTCCATGCTTTTCTTTGATTTCCATGCTGTTAAACATGCATCTCAGCTGCCACTCGTGGACAAAAGGACTTAATTAAATCCTGGAGTTCTGGTCTGGAGCCAAGACCGACTGTGTGGCTTTGAGAAAGTCATCTCCCCTTTACGAGCCTCAATTATTTTCTTCTTCTTATTCTTCCTCCTCCTCCTCTTCTTTCTTCATCTTCTTCTTTCTTTCTTTCTTTCTTTCTTTCTTTCTTTCTTTCTTTCTTCTTCTTCTTCTTCTTCTTCTTCTTCTTCTTCTTCTTCTTCTTCTTTCTTCTTCTTCTTCTTCTTCTTCTTCTTCTTCTTCTTCTTCTTCTTTGATTTTATTTATTTATTAAAGAGAGAGAGAGAGAGAGTGCACAAGCAAGGGGGAAGGGTACAGGGAGAAAGAGAAACAGACTCCCCACTGAACAAGGAGCCCAATGTGGAACTCCATCCCAGGACCCTGGGATCATGACCTGAGCCAAAGGCAGATGGTTAACCAACTGAGCCACCCAGGCACCCAAGCCTCAATTTTCTCAACAATAGGTGAGAAAGTACTTTGGAGGCCTACAGCACAGACCTGAGCTACTTTTGTTTCCAGTGGACTGTCCCATCTCTGTCCTATCACTGGCCATTGGAGCAGTGCTTGGACAAGGCCACCTGAGGATGGTCTTTGCCCTGTGTTGCAGCCTCACCATATCCATCGTCTTGGGTATCATGATCCTGCAGGTGTGGATTGCCTCCAGCTTCTTCCTGCAGCCAAAGATGAGTGCGGCTGACAAGCAGAAGCCCTTGGCACTCAACAACCGGTGAGGGCAAAGGAAGGAATGGGGATTGGAGGCTTTGGCTTCAGCAGTCTCTAGTTCCTTCCTCTTCACCTTTGGCAGGATCCTGGGTGGTCTGTGCCCTCTCTGACAGGGTGAGGGGCCATGCTTCGAGAGTAGGCTCTGAAACCCAACTCCTGGGTCCAAATCCTGGCTGCACCCCTTATGAGCTATGGGATCCTAGGTGACCATTCCAAACACTCATCAAGTGCAATTTGCTCCTTTTACAAATAATTGTGCACCTCAAAGAGGTATCCTGAGAATGAAATGTGTTTAAGTATGAACTTAGAACAATAGTGCCTGGCCCATGGGGACCCTTTGTGATTCACTCATTCAAAGTCCGGGCACTAAGGATACAGAGATATCCCCACATGACCCTCTTGAGGAAGCTCTTGGGCCACAGGAGCCAGTAGACACAGATGTGGTGACAGTAGACTCCAGAGGGGGTGAAAGCCTCACAAGAGTGATCCGGGTACTGGAGAAAGAGAGGCAGGAATGCTTCATTCAGCTGCACATGGAATGTTGGAGCTGTAGTCCATAGGGTGGTGGGGTTCCTACAGGTGGCTCTGAGGAGAGGGTGTGGCTGGCAGCCCTCACTCTGCAGATGCAGGCAGGCAGCCTCAAAGGGCAAGGCAGATGGAGAGAACAGTGATAATCCAATATGGTGACCATGCACTGGCCTTGGATGGAGAGGGGCAGAGAGAGTGCACAAAGGGATGACCCCAAAAATGGCCCCTCTCAGAAGTGGCCCAGAAAACCAGGATGCTGCGTTCAGGCTTCATCCCCTAGGCAACAGGAAACCACATGATCCAGTGGTCATTCAGGAAATTCCATTTGGAGGACTTGGAGCAGTTCCAGCTGGGGCAGGTCATTGTTACTACAGACGGTGGGAGAGCCACAACCTCTGCTGTAACCACGATGTCAGCTACGGCCACATAAGATTTCTTTCTTGTACAGGAAACCTCAAAACCCAAAGAGCCCATGAAATACTACAGCCACTACTGACATTGACCCTGCAATGGGCTCAGTGCCTTCTATGATATACTGGGCCAGTGCCCATACCAGTGCTGTGTGGCAGGGACAATCAAGATCACATAGCTAGGAGATGGGAGCTGCAGGATTTGACCATAGGCCTGGGGCCCTGAGCCAGCCTGCCTAGCCACCTCCTCATACTGAAAGGGTGCAGCCCCTCTGTCTCCTTCTGTTTGCAGGAGAGTGTTCCACAACTTCAACTACTTTCTGTTCTTCTACAACGTGCTGCTGGGACTGGGCGCCTGCCTCTCCCGGCTGCTCATCAGCTGCATCCTGGGCACGTGGCTGATCGCGCGTATCGACAGGACCATCATGCAGAATGGCTATGAGGGGGCAGACATGGGTAAGTGGCTGGTCCCCCAGTGGCCGCTCATTGAGTCAGGGTGAGGCGTGGGGGGGTGGTGGTGCTGGTCTTGCAGCTTTATAGAAGCTGCCTACAGGTTGGGTACCAGAGGCCTGGGCTTCACACTCTTCATTCTGCTCAGAGCTCTGCTTCTCATGGAAGTTGTAACACTGAGCAGAAAAAAACATTCGGCCTAATGGTCAAAAGAGAATTCAGGCTAGTAAATGGCTGCATATTTGAAGGCCTCTGAGGTATCATGGAGAGCAGTAAGAAGTACTAGAATTGCATCTCAACAGTTAGAAAGTAATTGTTTTATGAATGCACAGCTCTGAAAATTTTGAGAAAGAACATATCTCAGAATTACTGGTGTCATTAGTTGGAAATTTAGTTAAGAAAATGGTCTGTTCAGTTGAAAGACTCCAAAATCAAGCCACTTCTATAGAGCAAAAAATCATTTTTGTTTTATATCTGACCTGTGTCCCTTCATTCACTCATCCATTCAATGTGTGACTGGAAGCCTCTGCGTATCAGCCACAGCGCTCCTCCTGATTTCAGCCGCAAGCTCCCCATAAAATGGATAGATTAGAATGCTATCTTAAGAACCCTTAAGAGCTTAAGAGCTCTTTATACCTAATTTTCTAGATTCTCAGTGAAAACTTGGGCACCGTTTAGGAACAAGGTGACACTGCAGTTCTGCTTATTGAAAGCACAGGTGTCGAGCATCCTGGGACACAGGGCATACTGCACGGCCTGACTCGCCTTCTGCATTTCAGGATTCAATGCCTGGATCGGCATGCTCTATGTGGATCATTATCACACCAACCCTGTGCTCGTCAGCTTTTGTAACATCCTGATCATAGGGCACAGGGAGAGGAGGCTGCAGAGAGCCATCAAATACTGGTACCTAAATCAGTCAGCAGGTAAGGCTCCTGTTCGAACCTATGCTGGGGCTGGATGGTAGGAAACAAGTACCCTAAGGTTTCTCTGGGATCCCGGAGATGTCCCAGCTTCCCCCTTCCCTGCCCACCTTCCTCCATACTCCATGTCCTGGGGAACCTTCTACCTAGGAGAACAGGATGCACAGCTTGCAGCCACCCTGAGGCCTAGTGTTTCTGTCCTTCTAAGTGGATTCTTGTTCCCAGAAATGAGCTCTAGTTCTGCTGAGTCCTCCAGTCCATTTGTTTGAGATCCCACCTATATCCCAGACTTCAGGCCAGATGCCCTCCAAGATGGGGCTCAGTTCTGCTGGTCACCATCCCCTGCCCCTTCAAGGGTCTCTACTGTCTACTCCACTCCTCCCATCCCTATTACTCTGCTCTACTTCCTGCTGGGAAACCCACCAATTATCTCATGAGTATTAGTCTGGACTATGTTCCTCACTGTTCCCAACTGCAGATATCCGGTTCTGGGACAAACTCACAACCCTACAGCCATCTTCACGTCTTGGTCCTGCTCCTTCTCTGGCACCTCACACCTAACAGTCAGCTTCCCCTAGAGCTTCTGAGAAGGACAGAGACAAGCTGACCCATCTCCCAAGTCTTTCTGCTCTGGTTCACTCCTAGGTCCCCGAATCTCAACCAGGTCCAGGACGCGGTGGCTCCTGCTGCAGACCCTGGTCAACAACCCCAGACTAGTCATGCTCAGAAAATCAAGACCAGGTCACGGCTCTCGGGAGTTTACCCAGATTCTGTTGACATGCTGACGGTAACCTCCAGCATTGCTGCAAGGCCATTCCAGGATGACCGCCCCACGACAAGGCCCAGGCTACCCAGCCTCTGTCCCCTGCAATGTTGATGGGATGCAGTCACTGTCCACTGTCCACAGCACCGGACACTCATGGGATGGCACCGGGGCTGAATTGAACCATGAAGTCTCAGGTCTAATAATCCACTCCCTTAGTAAAAAGATCGAGAACTAAAGAGAATTTCTGTTGAACAATCTTTTCTCAATAATGGTTTCCCCTATCTATGGTTAGGAGGCAGTGTTGGGGAGTTCTATGTGGGCAAGCAGCTTAGACCACGGGATAGAACTTTGTATCACTGAAGAAGTTGGTAAAATGTCTACACCAGGAGAGCTTAACTGTTTGACACAGTTTTTCTCTGGAAGAAAATATGGCCTTAATCCAACAGCATTCTCACTGCTTCCACCTTCCCAGGCCTTCTGGTGATAGGAGAGAAGGAGCTCCATGTCCCCAGCCTCTGATCTGATAGGGTCAGCAGGCACACAGTAGGCTGTCCCTGTCATGGCCACTGGGATGAGGAACAGATCAGAACTGATCTGGCCTTGGTCACAAAATAGATCTACAGATCTGACAAGGAGGGACTCCCCTGGGAAAGCTGCCTATCTGCGGAGGCAGAGATGTGAGTGGGCTGGCATTTTAGTTGGGGGCAAAGGTATGGGAGCAGGAGAGCCCCTGGCATGTTTGAGGAGGGGAGGCCTCTGGTATTCGCAGCGCAGGGCATCGGGGCCTGGTTAGACCACCTGGGGAGGCCCAGATGCCAGGCTGGGAAGCCTGGACATTTCTCTTTGTACAACGGGCCCAGTACTTACCCCGAGTCTTTGCACCCATGCATAATGTCTCTGATGGCTCAGGACTCATGCAGAGTGACCAAGGCCATCATGAAGCCTATGCAAATGCCAAGAGGACCTACCAACAGGGCGAGGGAGGTCCCCATCCGTCTCACCAGTCCCAGAGCCATTGAAATCCAGTAATCATTATTGAGCACTTACTGTAAACTTAGTCCTGTTGCTAGATGCGTTTGCCAGACTTCTTTTAATTTAACCTTCGCAAGCTCTAAACTCTGTCATTCTGCTTTAGAAACTGAGACAACTGGGGTGAGATTGTTAGGGTCCCTCACCACCACTTTTAGCTATGTGATGCCGGCTATATGACTTTGCCTTTCTGTGCTGCTTTTTCCTTACGAATAAACAGGGCAATGATTGTAACACTCCAAATTATTTTGAGGATAAAATGAGTTAATACCCACAGACACTCCTTTTTTTTTGTAGTGATCTTTATTTCTTTTTTTTTTTGTATATTTTTTATTGGAGTTTGATTTGCCAGCATATAGCACACCAGTGCTCATCCCATCAAGTTCCCCCCCTCAGTGCCCATCACCCGTCACCCCATCCCCCCGCTCACCTTCCTATCCACTACCCCTTGTTCGTTTCCCAGATTTAGGAGTCTCTCATGTTCCCCACAGACACTCCTAAGCTAGTTCTTGCTACATCCTACACTCAATAAATATCGGTTATTGTTATTTGCAATGTTAATACTTTGTGGTGATGTGATTAATGTCTGTTTACCTCTTACGACGCTCTCGGCTGGGAGAAAAGAGTCTCCCCTGAGGTAGTTGCTACCCAAAGTACTGTCAGTTTTCCTCAGGACCTCTGCCCACCAGCCTTACTTGCTTCTAGACCTACTAGTAGACTTAGCCCCAGAAGTCATCTTGGCCAGCAAGGGAGAGCATGGGGGTCTGCCCATTGTCAAGCATATGGACCCTAAGCCTGGCAATTCAGAAGTCATTTGTGATCTATCAGATGCCAACCAAGGAAGAGTGGCCTCTATATACCTGACAGGCTGGAGCCTCTAGGGAACGTCTTAAAAAGAATGATATAAGGAGGTGCAGTAATGCTGGAAATCCTAATGCATAGGTAGTGCAAATGTTTATGGAATGAAGCCCAGCTTTTGGCTTGAAAGGGACCTCACAAATCTTTGCCCTAGACATGATGCAAGTGGGGAAAGGAGCATGGAGGTCATGGGCAAAGCTCCCAGGAGGATTCTAATGTAAGTCAGGAGGAAACACAGAGTCCCTAGGTGGGGGGACTGAGACTGAAAAGTCCTGAGACTTAGTCCATTTGTGAATTATCTTCCTCTGGTCTTGTCCTTTCCACGTGCAAGGTTTGATTTCTTCACGTTTTTTCCTCTACTTCTTGCTGATGCAACTTCAGAGACGGACCTAGAAGACAAGTTCCTAAGGTTTGGCCAAGGGACACCTGGATTGCTCAGTGGTTAAACCTAAGGTTTGGCCAAAAGAAACCTCAACAAGAGAAGCAGAAGATGTTTCCTCTTCCTTTAAAGCTGTGGAAAGCCCCCCGGGGTGGGGGGCAGGCAGAGCGGGTCTGGAGAGTGTTATTTGTAGCCACTCAGATTTCCCTCGTTGCTATGCCTGTGAACTCTGAACCCCAGGAACTCTGAGGGGCTGTCTCTGCTCCTGGCCCAGGTTGGTGATAGGCCATGTCCTCAGAGGAAGGAGGGCTTGGGGGGTCTCCTCCACTAGTGAGGGAGGGGCTCGGCCTGCTTCCTTTTACCCGCATACAATAAACTGGTGACCCTGCAGGATTTCTTGGTTCAAGAAGGAACGTGAAAGTCTGTATCTCATTTAAATTAACATTGGAAGTGAAAGAACTAAATCTTAATTCTCAGGCTGTTAAAAAAAAAGGATTTTAATATATTAGTACTCAAACCCAGCGTTTACTATTTGCAACAAATAGATGTACCACAGTAGGTAAACAGGCTTTGGGGAAGAGCAAGCAGGGTCACCTTCTCTTATTTTGGCGGCCTTCAGAGGAGTCAGAAACGGCTCAATGTTCTCCTGCACCTCAGACGGGGTAGCTGACCCGGTGCACTCTGAGGGTCCTGGCTGCTGGGGAACTCGGGAGTGTGGTCTGCCTCTGGGCTCTGCTGGGGACTTGGTGGCTGGCTAGAAGAGAGGGGTTACCTTGGGGGGGCCTCCCCCAGGGTCATGGCCCTCCCTGCCCATCCTGCCCTCATGGCACTGTGCTCCAAACACTGTGCTGAGTGCTTGGTCAGTCAACAGTACCCCATTTGTCCCTGCCACGTGAGTGATCAATTAGCATCACCTATTTCACAGACGAGGAAGCCGAGTCCCAGAAACCTAGGATGAATCGTCCCAGGCACAGGACTGGTCAGTAGTGGAGCTGGGATCTCACTGCCCATTAACCACGTTTCATCTGAAGTTTCACCTTTAGCCCCCAGGGTCCAGCTACTGCCAAGCCTGGATGCTCCCTCAGGCCTGAGCTTATTGGTAGCCAGTTCTTTTTAGCCTTGAGTGTTCTGCTGGCCAAAGAGGACCGGAGTTCCCCTGTCAGGACAAGCTATAGCTATGGGACAGAGTGGCACCGATGAGGCTACCAGGAGCCACATGTCAGGTGTCCCTCCTGGTGCCTGCTCAGCAGCTGGAGTCCAGGTGCCCCAGCGCTCACCATGCAACAAGGTCTGGGCTCAGCAGGGGAGTCATGGCCAGAGGCTCTCTGGAACCAGCCACCAGGGACAGTCTGTACCCACTATTGCTCAACTCCCGCCTGGTCTCACCTCTAATCTCCCTGAATGGTTCCATATCCTGGAACCCAGCCTCAAACTGCTCCCTGGGCTCAAGGTCATAATGATTTGCAGCCCTATGGAGCAGCTGGATCTTCCTCATTACTTTGTATTCCTGGGGTCAGAGTGAAGGACAGATGAAGACAGGGCATGGGTAGGGGGTGCTATAGGGGCATTGTGGGGGTGAGGAGAGAGGCAGGGGGGCAGTCTTGGGTCTTCTTTGTACACTGGAAACACTCTAATTCCGTCCAGGTCCTACCTATTTTCAGAGATGAGTGTAAATAGGCCCTCCTTAGGAAGTTGGACATACCCCACCCACCAAATTGATGGGTCTCCCACTTCTCTGTTATCAAACTCCCAGGGTGTGTCCTGCTCCCTCCACCCCCTGGCATGCTCCCCCTGCAGTGAGTGCCACAGATGTTCACCTCGTTTCCTTTTCTGGAGGATGGTCGGAGTCCCCTGGGAGGCAAACAGCCAAGGCCCATTAGAAAGAGCCCTTAAGGCCACCTGGGTGGCTCAATGGTTGAGTGTCTGCCTTCAGCTTAAGTTGTGATCTCAGGGTCCTGGGATCAAGTTCCACATTGGGCTCCAGCAGGGAGCCTGCTTCTCCCTCTGCCTGTGTCTCTGCCTCTCTCTGTGTGTCACTTGTGAATAAATAAATAAAATCTTAAGAGATAGAAAGAAAGAAGAAAGGGAAGAGGAAAGGAGGAAAGGAAAGGAGGAGGAAAAGAAAGGAAAGGAAAGGACAGGATCAGGACAGGACCAGGACAGGAAAGGACAGGACAGGAAAGGAAAGGAAAGGAAAGGAAAGGACATGACAGGACAGGACAGGACAGGAAAGGACAAGAAAGGACAGGAGAGGGCAGGACAAGGCAGGACAGGAAAGGACAGGAAAGGAGAAGGAGCCCCCAGCCTAGAACTAGAGTCCCTTCCTGCACCCCATTCTCATGTTGCAGGACAGCCGAGGCCCTCCAGGGGGCGGGGCTTGCACAGAAAACAGGACTGGGACCTAGGCCAGGCTCTGGCTCCAGAGACACGAGGACAGAAGAGCAGAAACTCTGGGACAGGCTAGCACAACCCACTCTGACGACAGACTGAGGCCTCGGGCAGAAGTGACTGCCCAGCCGCTGTGTGTTGCCCGACTGGGAGGAACCCCACATCTCTCTCCCTTCCATGCGCACCTCCTGAAGGGGAGGCCGGGTCCCCCTCCTGCAGCTCAGCAGCTTCCCCAGCCCAGGGAACCAGGACGTGCCTCCCTTCAGTCATCCCACAAGAGGAGCATGACACCCCCGCTGGGGAGAGGTGTGCCAGGGGCGGTGCCTCAGGATGCAGCAGGGGCCCCCCTTCCTGGCCCTGCTGTCCACCCCGCCCCCAGGTTCTCTCAGCTGCAGATAATCCTGCATTGCTGGGTACGGTGTCCCCAGGTCAGTGAGAAACATGCCAAGGAAGAACACATCCTGTGACATCAGGGCGTGGGTGGGGATGAGCTCTGGCTCTCGGGTACCCCCAGGGACCCTCCCCTGAAGACCCCTCTCCCTCAGCCTCCACCGCAGGATTCCCACGTCCAGCACCCTCAGTCCTCCCGTCACCCTCCAAGAACAGCAGACTCCTGCTAGTCACCTCCCAGGACCTGCTTTTGGCAATCACAGGGGACTTGGTGCCAGGTCCTGGTGTCACTTCTAATGGGGAGTTTCTGGCCCTGTGGCAACAGGAGGCAGAGCTGGAGGGGGGAGGCCCTTCCTCTCTTGGTGTGGAGGCCTCTGTTTAGAAGGAAAGAATCCCCTATCTTCTGACCCTGGGGCCCCTTCCCCACAAGCATTCTCACCTCTGCTGCTGCCTCTTCTGGGATTTCCGAGGGATCATCTCCTGGGTGTCAAACTTGGAGATCCCCTCACGCCAGGGTCAAGGGCAAGGTTGGTGAGGCCATTGTCTCCTCAGCCCATTTCTCCCAGGCTATTCCCTAACCTCACCCCCTGGACAACTGACCTGAGTGCTACTCTGTCTTCCATTGTGCCCTGATTCTAGAATAATCCTGGCTCTGATACTCACCCAATATGTGGCCTTGGGCCTGTGGCCTGGCCTCCCTGAGCCTGTTTCCTTATCTGAAAAGTGTGAGGAGAACCCACTTACTTCACAGGGTCTTCAAGGACTCAGTATCATATTACTATCATCATTGTTCTCCTCTCACACCCCAACACATTTCTTCCCTCCCTTTGACCTTATCACCCCACCTTAGGAGGCCTGCACCACAGGATCATCACCTTCCATTTTCCTGATGAGGAGACAGAGCTCTGAAGAGGGGCAGTGATTTACTCAGAGGCCTACAGAGGAGATGCCACTTCCATCCCCAGCCACAGGCCATGCCCTAGCTGCCTTGACCCCAGTCCTGCCCCACCACTGACCAGAGTCTTGTCCTCTGGGTTCTCAATGTGAGTCCAGGTCCCTAGTGTGGCCAAGCCATGGATGAAGAGGGACAGGGGTCTTGGAAGCCTGACTGAGTGGTCCCTGCCTGCCCAACCCACCAGAGTTTCTGCCACCCAGGCTGGGCCCAAGGCCATGCCGAAGGTTTCACCTCTCCAAGGTACCCCACAGGACATTGTCCTGCACAGCAATCTTCCTTCATCCACTCAGAAGGGGCTGCTGAGGTGCTATCTCTGACAGGAGAATGGGCATCCAGGGCACAGGGTGGGAACATCTTACTTCCTCATTTTGAAGCTTTTGACTACCATTCAGGAAGGACCCACTAAGAATCCATCAGTTCCCCAGACTCTGAGAAGGTGTCTGGGACGTATGTCATGGTCAACTAGACACTCAGATGAGACTCCTGACTGTGACTCATTAGCAGTGATGTTTCAGGGCCAAAGTAGGAAGTCACAGAATGCACATCTATCTGTCCCTGGTCCA